AGGTATACAGTGTGATTCATAGGTTCATTGTTATTTACAATTAATTCATGTAACCTACATGTCGTAGACGATGTTTTTCTTTTACTTTCCTAATTAAATCTTTCATAGTTTTTAGGTTTTTTTACATTTATTTGTTTTTTTTTCCTTGTTAAACAAGGAATCCTTATCGTTTCATGAAATTATTAAAAATCATCAAACATGGAACATTCAGATTCATTCGATCCTGATGCTATGACTACGTTCACAAGTGAGAGAGTAAAAACTGGAGCGTCTCGGACACGGATGGATAGGGTTAAGTAACCAGTACAAAAATTGTTCAATTTCACAGTCAGAGTGCACAGTGATTAAACCATTGTAAGTATGTTGAACTCAATTTAAGAAATTTTATACGTTACGGATTCGACTTCCAGTTGATGTATCACAGTGAAACAAGATATAGTTTAAATTATAGGGCATCAAACGATGTACCCAAATGAATTTTACATATTATTAGGTATTTAATATTAATAGAGAGCTAATAGATAACAACTGACTGAAGAACTAATAAATCTCTATTTAAAATTTTATTTAATATTAAAATTTAATATTTTATAGCTATAAAATAGCAATCCAATTTTACATTTTTGATTGAAAAACAGAAACTTTTATATACACATCACTATAATGTATAAAAAATGTGATACTCCTAATAGTAAGTAATAGATAAAAAAGTACATAATACATACCAATGTTTACCTACTTAAGGCAAAATAATAATATAATATAAGAGTACTTGAACACAATATTATTGGTGGGCAGTCGCCGCGACACTCGAATATAATAAATATTTCCAAGTCTGATAACGTGGGTAACCTTTTCTATTTGATATAGTTCTTATAGGTTCATTGTGTATTCAAATATAATGGAATCTTTTTCATCAATAAAATCTTACTGTAGTAAATATGGATACAATTTTTTTTTTTTTTATTGATAGAGATTGTAATATCTATCTTAAAATCGGGACTATTCACATAACTGGTTTATATAACAACCGTTGTTTTATATTAATCAAATATTATATAAATAGTTTATAAATCGGTAATGAAGAGTTTATTAAGCTGAACTTAGTTTCTTGATGGTGTTTTACATATGAAACGTACTCGTACTTTAAATATCGATTATGTAGTGCTATTAAATGCTCAGACCAGAAAAATAAAGCAGTTAAACTTTTAATCAAAACATTGCCAAAATGGATCTCTTATATACGAGGTCTGTCCGGAAAGTTCGTATAAAAGTGTTCTGGAATGCGAGAAAGAGGAGTGGGGAGGCCAGGTAAGCGCAGGACCCCTTCCTTATGTCCCTAACAATGCTTCAGTTCTGGTCTGACCGCCGTGCGGTGCGAACTGGCTTGTCACGCCATCTGTGAAGTTACCTCTTAACGAAACCCCGTCGGCATGGAGCCCGCTTCCGTTGAAGAGCAGCGCGTCATAATAAAGTTTCTCTCGAAACTCGGCAAGAATGGCCGTGAAATTTTTGCCGATCTCAGAACAGTTTATGGGGATGATGCTGTGAAGGAACCAACCGTCCACAAGTGGCTAAAAAGATTCAGAGAGGGCCGAGAAAGCGTTCAAGATGACCCACGTTCAGGACGTCCTTCCACTTCACATTCCGACGAAAACGTGGAAAGAATTCGAACTTGTGTTAATGGGGACCGTCGTTTAACGGTCAGACAGGTGGCTGAAGAGCTTAATTTGGGCAAAACCGTGGTCCACGAAATTCTAAGAAACGAACTTCAAATGAAAAAAATTTGCGCCAAGATCGTTCCGTGAGTTTTTGAGTAAAAATTCCATTACGGTGACCGAACACCCCCCCTATTCGCCGGATTTGGCCCCGTGTGACTTCTTCTTGTTCCCAAAAACCAAATTGGTACTTCGGGGGCGGCATTTGGGGGACATAAATGAGATAAAAAAAGCTACGACGGGGCAGCTGAGAAACCTACAACCAGAGGACTTTCAAGGAGCCTTCTCACAGTGGAAACGGCGTTGGCACAAGTGCATTATGTCACAGGGGGAGTACTTTGAAGGGGATAAAATTGATTTACCTGAATAATTGTAAAATAAAATTTTTAAAAAACTTTTATACGTACTTTCCGGACAAACCTCGTATTTTTAAGTTATTATAATAAAATAGAAACATTTTGCGTTAAAGTCATTCTTTAAAAACTACGTCGAATTGATTTATTTTGACATTTTAAATATACTGTAAACAATAAGGGAAATAAATGTTCCAATACTTTAAAAGCTTGTATCTGAACTCTTATTCAATAATTGAATTTATATTTGTGGCTGTTGTCAAGCTACGTTTTCCTGTTTTCATTACAGGCACGAGGAAATTATGAGGTTCCATTCTAGCAATTTGAACACGGATCCTACCTATTTGTTTATTCTTCTCGTAAAGTTACTATGAGTGTTTACTTGCTTACTATATTCAACAGTTTCACTTGACACACCCTAATTCATGATGTCAGAGCCCACGGTTACAGGTACTATTTTGATAATTACACCATTTGCCAACAAACTTTTTATATCAAAAGAAATTAAAATATATATATATATATATATATATATATATATATATATATATATATATATATATATATATATATATATATATATATATATATTCAAAGAGTATTTAAATAAATTACAAAAAAAAACAATGTAATATTTATATAATAACAACAGCTTTATTCTGCATTTAATTCATACTGATAAAAACCTAATATTATTGTTGATAACCTTTGTCAACCAAAAGCATACGAAAACGACGCAGTAAATGTTATTATAAATTTGCTCATTCTGAATTCGTCTCAATTATTTTGTGGTTACGTTACACGTTTACGTTGCCAAATCTGTACCAATTTTAACTATTCTTTCTGCAATCAAAGGTTTCTATACTAATTTGTGATTATTGACGCTGCCATTTTTCTTTGCGAAACAAAAAATTACTTGTGAATTGTTGTTGTACAATTCAAATATTTTCAATTAATGTGTCTAAATCATTTCATTGTTTATCAATATATGTGTTTACGGTTACGAAACAAAATGTATTAGTTATTATTTTGGTTTTAAATAATTTAAAAAATATATTTTTTAAATTATTTAAAACAAAATATTTATATTATTAAATATGAAATTCTAAAAATATATTTTTTAGAATTTCATATCAAAAAGATAGCCCGACTGGAGTTTGACAATTAAATAAAGTCCTATTCTAGTGCATATTTTAAACTAAGATTGTAAAATAATATAGGATAAGTACATTGTTTTTTATAGATAAAGGTGCTCTATAATTTTATCTGAAATTCTTGCATGTACTCATAGTATGTAAAGAAATAACAAGAAGTAATCATTGCAATAAATAGGCCAGTAATAACAAGAAAAATCCTTAAAATTTACAAATAATACACATAAGTAGTTCAAGCTGTTAACAATACATTAACATAAACATTTATATATTCTAATTTTATTTGGTACTGATTATTAAATTAAAAAATTTACAAAATAATTATTAAAAGACTTCAAAAAAAGAGATTCTCTATTTGACGCTATTTTTGTGTGCATATGTTACACCATATTTTCGCTAAAATTCTGACATGATTTTGATAACTCCTTTTGCAATTGATAGGATTTATGTTAGTCACTTATTAATTCTGTTACTATTTAAGTTACTGATTTTTGTTAAAAACAAATACACAGAAAACGCCATAAAAGATTTAAACACTCATTATCATAATTCTCATTGACACTTTTATTTAAAAAAAATATATATATATATATATATATATAACGAACAATAGGGTTGGATTGCTAATTGTAAGCTAGTTTTGCTGTGGCTAAAGTAAAAAGTAACAATGGATTTATGTAACACCGAGTTACGCATACCTACTGTATAACGCAATGGAAACGAAATCTGCCTCTCAAAGCGTGAAGCATTAAATCGTATCAAGATTTAATAACACTCCTCCGTTGATCGTTGCGCAAACTTCAGTATTTACTCTCAGAACGATGTTATTGGCAGACATTGTGACTAATTCACTTAATATAAACTTATAAACGAATGTTTGTAAAAATCTTTGGATGTTTTTACACTATCACGTATAATAGCTGAACATATTTATATTTATTTTGTTACATAACATACTTTAATGTGACCGTGTGGTTCCGGCATAGAATAATCCATCCCTTCCTTTACCGTAGGTGTCGTAAGAGCCGACTAAAGAAGAGCGAAGGATGGGCAGCAGCATCCCTCTTAAAATGTCTCTTAAGCCTGACTGCGGTTGCCAATTCGCCTACCAAGCGTGGCAACTACGGGCAAAACCCTCCAAGGGGGAGGCTTATGTTCAGCAGTGGACAGTTAAAGGCTGATTTGGTGATGATGATACTTTAATATTCTATATTAACACAGAATAGTTTTAACCCAATTTATGTCAACATATGTCCACATCTAGACAGGCGGTTACTTCTTTACTTTCTGTCACGGGCGCTACATTCAAAGCTACAGATAGTTATAAATAATTGATTACTACATATTAAGCAAGTTGTTTCACTGTGAAATATTTACAGCCAGATGTTAGATTCTATCTATACCTGTATGTATATTCTTGTATTTATTCATAACCTTGTGCATGGAATTATTATTTTCTGATATCCTTTATTTAAATTGAATTATTCGGCAATGATGATGCGGTTAATGCAACAGCCCCTTCGTTGCAGTCTTTGTGTTTTAATTACATAGGTTTTTAATGTAACCAAATTATACTAACGCCATCTAAACTAGTCTTATTAAATTTCTCTATAATGACCCGAAATATGATTGCGATCAATAAATAATTATTTTATAAATCGATAAGTATTTGAACTACCACAAATTTTGAAAGGTACATCTGGTGTAAAACCTCTATAGTAACATGCCAAAAAAAAACATTGCCTATAATAACATACGCCAATGCTTAATTTCAGAATGGTGACCTGTGTATATCGATCCTTCACCCGCCAGTAGACGACCCACAGTCGGGAGAGCTGCCATGCGAGCGTTGGAACCCCACACAGTCTGTCCGCACTGTGCTACTTTCGGTGATATCATTGTTGAACGAACCGAACACCTTCAGTCCTGCTAATGTAGACGCGAGCGTCATGTATCGGCGCTGGCGTGACTCTAAGGGCAAAGATAAGGAGTATGAAAACATTATCAGGTATGTATATTTTCATTTTAATATGTATTTTATACTGATACTAATGGCACATAAAATAATAACTTTCTAATAGAATATGGCAATTGTAACATATGTTACATCACAATGTAAAACATTAAGGTGGATTTACAGCAGATTGCAGTCAAGCAATTTGCTTAACAACAATAAACAAATTAAACAATTGCTTATTACTTTCTACAATATAAATCTACCATGATGTTAAATTGTTTTATGCTCTTATTATTTGAGTGTAAATAATATATATATATATATATATATATATATACGAGGTTTGTCCGGAAAGTACGTATAAAAGTTTTTTAAAAATTTTATTTTACAATTATTCAGGTAAATCAATTTTATCCCCTTCAAAGTACTCCCCCTGTGACATAATGCACTTGTGCCAACGCCGTTTCCACTGTGAGAAGGCTCCTTGAAAGTCCTCTGGTTGTAGGTTTCTCAGCTGCCCCGTCGTAGCTTTTTTTATCTCATTTATGTCCCCCAAATGCCGCCCCCGAAGTACCAATTTGGTTTTTGGGAACAAGAAGAAGTCACACGGGGCCAAATCCGGCGAATAGGGGGGGTGTTCGGTCACCGTAATGGAATTTTTACTCAAAAACTCACGGACAACAAGAGAGGTGTGGGCAGGGGCATTGTCGTGGTGAAGAATCCAACGCCCCTCTCGCGCCAATTCTGGACGAACTCGTGCCACACGAGCTTTGAGGCGTCTGAGCACATCGACGTAGAATTTTCCATCAACTGTCTGGCCTGGAGGGACGAATTCTTGATGGACAATCCCCCGAACATCGAACTCTTTCTCGGCCCTCTCTGAATCTTTTTAGCCACTTGTGGACGGTTGGTTCCTTCACAGCATCATCCCCATAAACTGTTCTGAGATCGGCAAAAATTTCACGGCCATTCTTGCCGAGTTTCGAGAGAAACTTGATTACGACGCGCTGCTCTTCAACGGAAGCGGGCTCCATGCCGACGGGGTTTCGTTAAGAGGTAACTTCACAGATGGCGTGACAAGCCAGTTCGCACCGCACGGCGGTCAGACCAGAACTGAAGCATTGTTAGGGACATAAGGAAGGGGTCCTGCGCTTACCTGGCCTCCCCACTCCTCTTTCTCGCATTCCAGAACACTTTTATACGAACTTTCCGGACAGACCTCGTATCCTACTGCATATCTATTTTCGAGAACTACGACATCTTTGTTGCTTTTTTATTGGATATTACACTATTTTATCTTTCAGACCGAAATACAAAATTACCATCACTAAAAAGAAATAATAAAACACAAAAACAGTACTATGCTATGGTGATTCGTCACTTCATTATGTTAGGAAATTAGTACCTAACCATTAGTGATCTTGAGATAGCAAGATTGCAACCGTCCAAAATTCGCCAAAAGCGATCGTGACTTACACCAATATTCAGTGAACTGTAAATTAGAGAAGAGAAACGCTCAAGATAATCTGCTGTTATTGTTACACTGAGTAATTTCTCTTTATATTATGACTGCTTATTATAGAACCAAAGATAGTAAAATGTAACGTACTTTAACAACCCATTATCGTCTCACTTCTCACTGTTGAACACTAATTAATTCCATAGAGTTTACTTTGAACTTTTCTTCTATACTAATATTATAAAGAGGAAAGTTTGATTCTTTGTTTGTTATGGATAAAGTCAAAAACTACTCAACTAATTTAAAAATTCTTTTACTCGTAAATTCTATCTACTCATTTGAAACCGGGCCGCATGTCTTAATATAATCGTAATATTTTATTTCATTTTCAGGAAACAAGCACAAGTAGCGCGCATAGAAGCAGAGAAAGAAGGCATTGTAGTACCTCTTACATTAGAAGATTATTGTATTAAGACTCAAGTCAAATCAACGACGCAGGAGCCTCAGGTCTGTATTAAAAAAGCTAATAACATTCGTAAGATAGCAGCGTCAAAGTATAAAAAATTGCTTCAGTCTTATACAAGGTCACATCACAGAATAGTTCTAGCTGTAATCATAAAGTAAAACAGGAAAGAGGACCCCACAAAAAATACAATTTAACTCCATTAATACCTATTCGAATTATATACTCTAACCTAAACTAGTATCTTTTATATCATTTGAGACTAAACGATCGTAACAAATAAGTAGGTACAATTAATTGAGGAAGGATCTTCATGAAATGGCATGTTCCTTCCATATTATTGTAATTAAAAGTTCTCGACTTCGACTTTTTTAACTTTTGCCTCCTAACTGTCATTATCAATATTTTTGTACGTTATTTACTTTAAATTTACCTAGTTTCTCGAGTATTTTTTGTGCTTATTATTATAGTAGTATTAGAGTATTAAACGTGACAATTTGAAGAGTTCGTAAAGAAGTATATTTAAATAACTATAATTTCTATTATTCTATATTAAGATTCGCCTTTAAAATGGGTTCTATTTCAGCTGTATAAAGCATTAAGTAGAAGTCGAGATGCCTCCCTTTTGGAAGGTTCTGCCAATAGTTGCACACGCTTGATAGGCGATTTGGCCACCGCAGTTACGCTTTTGGTGATACGTTTTAAGACACACGCTGCTGCTCATCTTTCGACTATTAAAATTCCTTTAGTGGTCTCTTACAACACCCACGAGAAAGGAAGTGGTGGCGAGACCACACGACCGAATATACTCATGCTGTGGAATAAATGTAATAAGACAGAAATTTCGTTAATAAAAAATTTAAAAAATAAGAATGATGTTTTTCCCATTTTAACTTTAAAGCTGAATGCGCCGTGTTAGTACGGGGCAGGCTCAAAAATTTGTAATTTTTCGATCCATGATTCTTTGGTAAATATTCCTAAAAACATACGTAACGTTATTAGAAACCTGGCAGAATACCAACACTGCGCAATATACTTTCTTATTACTTTTCGTGTTATGTTTTTTTTTTTTAACTTTTCGCAATAAATGTTTTTCTTTCTTTCAAATTCACAGATGGAACACTCCTCTAATGATTTCGAACTGTATTTACGTTACCGATTTTCAATCGTAGCTGTTTACGAACACTATATAATCATTTATTGATTATTTAACATTTTACATTATACAAAAAGAATCGTACGTAATCCATGCTGAAAAATATGAATGAAAGTTGCATTTTATTACACTACATGTGAAATGTTAGCTAATCAACTAATCACAATATAGATTAATTTACATATCAGTGTAGCAACCTATAGAACTGGTTATGCAGAACTGACCCAGTATGTACCTAGTCCATTCCACGGTTAACTGTTTATTGGAAGAGACGAATTAAAGTAAGAAGTTCAAATTCAAATCTTACATTTTGTATTATCTAATTTTTAACACTAATAATCATAATTTAGCCTATTTTTAGTTATAGTATAAAATAAAAATAGACGCGCAGAATTAGTCATCAAGGGAATACAAATCCAAAATGCAGGCGATGGCAACATTGTCAATTTACTTTTTTAACAGACTTTGAACAAATCAATAGGGAGCACATATTATCATTATATTTTATTTAAATTAATTGGTAGTGGGTTTATTATTAGGTAGTTTATTTATCGCTTTATAGTAAGTTCTTTTGTATATCATTTTTTTTAAGTCGGTTCAAATATTTTTTAATTATTTTTTTATATATTTAAAACCTTTGTGCAATCCTTTAATATTGATATATCAACCACTGTTACTAAGTTTACAGTCGCCTTACAATTCTAAGTAAATAAGGTCTTTATGTTGACTAAGATGTGAGAAGTTTGTACTTCTTTAAGAATTTTATATTACACCATATGATGTTAAGTCTGCCATTCACACTATAAAGGTGTATTAAACTTTAATATAAATAAATGTTACGGTATGTTAATATTTATATATAATTTAATTTAATCAATGCACTTCGTTTTAACCGACTTCATAAAGGAGGTTCTTAATACTGTTATTTGTTACTTCCGTCAGTTGTACCCAAAGAAATTTTATTAAAATCGATTTAATAGTTTAGTTTTTATATTAACATAACTGCTTTTGCCACAATTCAACTAGTTTTTTTTTTTTTTTTTTTTTATTGAACACAATCTTAGTTACAATGCATTAATATTATCTTTGGCTTTTATAATTTTAATAAATTACTAATATATTGGCCGTGTGCTCCCGGTATAGAATAGGCCACTCCTTACTTTCCTGTGGATGTCGTAAGAACCGACTAAGGGAGGGCGAGGGAAGAACAGCAGCGTCCCTCTTAAAACATCTCTAAAGCCTGACTGCAGTTGCCAATCCGTCTGCCAAGGGTAGCAACTACTGGTAAAACCTCCCAAAAGGGAGGCGTATGTTCAGCAGTAGACAGATAAAGGCTGATATGATAATGATGAATATTATCTTTGACTTTTTTTACATCGTTAGTAACAAATTGTTGACTGTAACATATTGTTACAGTTGGATATGACGGACTTCTATGATGACGACTATGACGATCTGGACACCGACTCCGACGAGGAGCTGGAAGGTGGTGAGGGGGACGGCGACGACAGCGGCAACGGGGAGTCGTGAGGCCGCGCCCCCCGCGCCTCACCCGCGATCTCGTGCAACCGTGTACGGACCACCAGACAACTGTAATTATTAGTAGTACATCTCCTTCAGATCTGACCGATCAGTTGGTCTGTAACGTTAAGCATTCTAATAATCTGCTGCGAAGCAATGAACAGTTTTTATGCTAACGTAATATATATACGTATAGTAAACTATCCGCAATGTAAAAAGTACAAAAACGGTCAAGCGTTGAGGCCACTGAAGTCTGTTAAAACATCGTTGTCATGGCATTACTGTGGCACCTACCAACACAAATCAGCTGCTTCTATTTCGGTCAGACTTGACTAAAAGCATTTTCAATTGACTTCAAAAAGATTTTGTTAAGTTTGTTACTTCTAACTCCGTCAGTTGTAAAGCAATTTGCAAAATTCTATTTTTAACTGAAAGGATGTACTTACAGATTAGTCCCGTAAAAGTTTTATCAACCTCGATTAAGTAGTTTAGTTTTTAAATAAAAATAACTAGTTTTGTCACAATTGAAGTCGATATTTTTTGTGGGACACAATCTTTTATTATTATATCATATCGTCATAGTCGTAGAATACTGACGGATCTATATATGTAATATTTGTCAGATCCGTCAGTATTCTACGACTATGACGATACGACGAACGACACGGTAACGAATCATGAAGTCTAGTGCCGCATAACTCGTAAAAAAGCAACGGACTCCCCAGCCGCAGAGTTGTTATAGCTTAATGAGTCGATCTTCAGTGTTAACTCTCGCTATAAGCTTGTGTAGTAATGCTGATATTATAAAACAAAAAAATATGAATAATATCATCCTATCTCTATTACACACTTTATAAGGATCTTATCCGCTAATAGAATTTATTCAAATTATCTATTAGTTTTATGACATATTCAACTTAACTAGCCTCTTATTAAAATGTGAAGGAGAGATCTTATTGATAAACATGTCATTACTTAAAAATACTCCGTTCCATTACAAATACTTTCTAAATTGTCAAGTAATGTATTAAATTTTTACTCTAAATGATTTGAAATGTATCTTGACCAACTGTGCTGTTTTTAACGCTTCTATGGTCTGCTGAGCGTTACTATTTTTGTATTTTCATAATTGTATATATAACATATTATTTACGTTAAAATAAATAATTATATGGATTTAAAAATATTAAGTCTTTTCATTAAAAACTGTTAGTGTTTAGCCATGGTGTTCTCATTCTTAAAAATCGATCTGATTTGTAGCTAACATTTATTATATTTAATTACAATTGCTGCTCTTGTTTAGAACAGTGTTTAAAAGCGCGAACATGAGATTTGCCATAAGATACAAACTTGCCACTCATTTATAAAAAAAATTAAAAACCATATTTCCTTATCATAATAAACTTTACATTTATATTTTATCCACTAATTAGATTTCATTGTTACGTATCTGTGTTAATAGTGGAATATTTCAAAAGTATTCTGGTTACTGCATAAAATTATTGCATAATCCATAACTCTGTTCTATTAACATTGCTGATTCAAAGAATTTATGATGATGTGTGGGTAGATTACTTAATATCAATCGCTCGTCCGTACCGTTTGCTTGAACTGGATAGTTAAATCAGTCATTTTATTATTTTTATGTATATCTATGTAATGTTCCCATACTCAGTTAGTACATGTTTGATACGTAATTTTAAAATTTTGTAATATGTTACACAGATATCGAATGTTAGAATAATAACGCTTTCAATAAATGTACACTGCAAGTTATTCGAGAGCCAACATAATATGCTTCATAACTTGCCACTTCATAACTGGTATCCTTTGGCAACATACACCAGGTATAACGAGGCAGCATACTTCGTGCTAGCACAATATTTTTATTATTTAATTGCAATGTAAAATAAGTATTGCACATGTTACCTCTTAACTGTGGATTAATTAAAAAAAAATTATCTTTGTCATATTAACGTCTTTATGTTCGCCAAGTAAACGAAAATATCTTTATTTTGTTTTTTGTTAACATGCATTTCTTGTTGAAAATACATTTCAAAGCGTTATTAATCTAAGTATTAATTATTTCTCAAGAAATATGTGCAAGACTTCTGTGATTGTAAAACAGTATCCTGTATGATCAAAATTTTTTTATACTTATATAATATTAGTTTCTTTTTTAATTGATTATATAATATAGATAACTTCCTTCATTTCGTAATATAGTTAATTTATTAGTGGTGCCAATTGGATGTACCACCCATACAATAAAATTAATTACTGGTACTACCAAATCGACACCAATAATAATCTTCGCATTGTCTAATTGCTAGCTTGTAACATAAATTTAAAACTAAATTTTATAGATAATGAACTTTAAACAAGTCCTATAAAATTATAAATGTATATAAATTCATTAAGTGGAAAGATATAATTGATGTGAATAGAGATTATAATAACTTTCAATGTTTGGGGAGTATGCTCAAATCATGATAATACAATAGCTATGTTAAAATATTAGAATACAGTCATTATTTTAGATTTTGGTGAACGAAATTATTTGTAATGTACATTAATTAAATATCTAAGTGGAAGAATAATTTTATATTAGTGTGCACTAAGTTAAAATAAATATAGAGAATACACTGTATGATTGTTCTGTAAGATTTAGAATACAAAAGATCTACTATTCTGGCTTCTAAATTCTATATTATAGATGTGTATGAATATTTTAATTTAGTAGCAATCTACTTAGATGCTATTAAAGGCTAAAACTATATATTGATCTTTCTTTGGTCATCGTAATTTTCATTGATTTATTTTTAAAATCTAATAATAAAAGTCGTCCACCTATTCAGTTTATTAGACTTAAGTTATGCGGTAAGTGGTTTGGAAATCATAGGAAAATTTACTGAAACCGACTACATTAAAATATTTGAATAATAATAATAAACGAAATATGTTTAGATGTGACTTTTTTCTTAATATTCTTATTAAGTAGTTCATACGTGGTGCAGGTCGCGCTGTGGAATAATAGATACTATGAGAATCCTCACTAATATTATGAATGTAAAAATGAGTTTGTTTGTTTGTTACATTATAGCGCCATAATGACTTGACCAATTGAAAATTTGGTGTACACATACTATATGAGATAAAGAAGAATATATGTAGACTAATATTTATCCCGGTGACGTGGTCGAGGTCGAAGGTATAAGCTAGTAGAATATAAACTTTGAGATGGTGTATCCATAGAAACGGCCACCTTTTTTATATGCGTGTACAAAATATATAGTTATTGCTCAGTGAGTAAGAGAAACAATATAAAATTATTTCAGCTATATTTGAGACAAAAGGGTAACCAAAACAATGATTCATAATTTATCTTATCTTCATTAATTAAGTGATATAATAAACATATGTATTCGTTTTCAGAATCATTAAAAAAATATATTGTATACAATATGTACATTTATTACATGAGAAAAATGTCTTGATTCAAATTTAAAATTAACCTAATCTGACAAATTTTTAATTGAATTAATTGCTAAAAAATTGTTAGCTTTGTTTTGTCTTAATTTTTAATCTATCTCTCTCTCTCTTCGTCCACTTCATTACTGAAGGTCGTGTCCTTGAAAGGTGTCTGTTGCCTCTCTTATGATGTTACTCTATTTCGCACGGTCTTCAGCCTCTCGCAGGGCAACTGCAATTGACACTCCAGTAACGGCGGTTACTTGGTCCGACCATAGACTAGGCAATCGTCCGCATAGTCGTGTTGATCAAGGTTTAATTTTTTAATAATACAAATTAAACCTTGATCTGTTTTCGCCGCTCCATGGTTTATATTGAAATACCTGTATGATCTAAACTAGCGTAGAGTAAATGCCTCCAAAATGATAAAATAAACTTAAATTAATTATTTTCCGGAATAGAATTTCCAAGTGGTTGATATCTAATTTTGTATTTTATTGAAAACAATTACAGGTACTAGTACACTAACGGGGTGAGATGAACGGAATTATAGGTATGGGTCCCCACCCACTGCACTCGTCCCTGCGTACGCGTTCGGTGAAGCTGTAAAGGTCAACTGCGGCCAACAGCATACACAGTTAGAAAAAGAACTTTGCATAAAAAATCTATTTAAACAAATTCTCGTTTCGTCGGTATACAAAAAAGTATGATCTCAATCAGTTGTCATGAAATTTAGCACAGTCGTAGCTATTTGGAAAGATGGTCTACTAGATTATACCTTATATTATACCTATAATAAAAGGGCAAATAGTGATCCTATAGAAGCAAGCGTGACTCCCAATAACGATTAATAATTGCGATAGCCGAAAATTGCTATAATCTATTATAAAACGCTAATGTCTATGCAAAGCAATTTAAAACTAGTTCGACTCATGGATTAGTTCTTTCTTTTACTACTTCTTTCTAACAAATATTACAAATGGCAGTGTTTGTTAGATAAAATTATATTCATATCGCCTCACGATTAGAAAACATTCGTTCTACCTTTTTTGATAATTTATTTTCGAAGTATTTATTGTCATGAAGGATCTATCGAAAATAGGGGGAAGGCTTTTTTTAAAGGATGTTAATGGAATGGTAACCTCATCCTAATGGTAAATGTTAAGATATGGGTGAAAATGAAAGGGCAGTAAGTTAGCCTATCGTGATGAATTCGCTTGGAATAGAACACGATAGTTTTCAGGGGAAACCGCGAGGAGGTTGACCTGACAGGGTATATTGCTAGCAATCTAAGAAATCTAAGCAAAGCTATGTACTAATCCCCATTATTAACAATCCCTTCTCCCTCACTTATCTTAAAAATAGGAAGGGGGTCATAAGAGCGAATAGTTGCCAAGAAATGTACGATACAGTTCTTTTTTTTTTGTATTTTGATTGATAATCAAACGTAGGTGCTGCTCCTATAGAGCGATTTAAAAATTAAAATTAATCTCTTTTGCGTTCTTTCTATGGCAAGAAACTCGTTACAGGATTATAGTCAGTAGGGTTGAGTAATATATACCAATATCTATATATTTTAGATACAGTATCTATATACTGCTTCAATAACAAATATGTTAAAAATTTGTTATACAGACAACAATATTGGATAACAGACTTTGAACATATTTGCAAATACGACTGATATGGACGATATCTAAATGGGTAATAACCTTTTTTCCGCAATCATGTCTAGAGGAACCCAATATATAAATAGATACCGATGATCAGTATCCATATGCATATCTATTGCAAGTATACTAGATTAAGAACAATAAGTTCCATATCTTTGGTATAGATCTTTGGTAATATTAAAAAAAAAGTATTATTAGTTGTCATTGTGACATTGTCAATGTTATCAAGTTATCAGTTTTGCGTAACTTTCATATTAGTTTAAAAGTATGGATTTTGGTCAGAAAACATAATGCCAATGTTTAGTTAAATGATGATATCACAGTAGTGTCAACTTAACTAATAAAAATATTGTCTAATGTAAGACAAATTACTGTCATCTAAACTATTCGTGGAATAGTTTTAGGTTTGTATTTAATACTTCTTTTAATTTTGACGTAGTTTATTACTATATATAATTATTATTGACTATAATATGAAGTTATTACATTTCATTAATATCGAATAACTATCTAACCATATTAACCATTATAGCCCTATTTGTTTCAATTTTTAACATCAGGTTGGCTAATATAATGAGAAAAAGGAGAATTTTGTGTAGATTGGTAAAATATTCCTGACCAAATTGTTTTAGGTAGTTTATATGAAGTGCGGTGTTTTCTTTTAGTTATAGAATTTTTATTTTATATATCTGTCGTGATTTATACATAAATAATTTATTTTTAATTGCTTTACCTATTTTAAAATAAATAATTTCAATATTAAACAAAAATACTTATTAAGTAATTGTTTTTATTTCAGTGAGAATAGATTTCAACTCAGTTTCTATGATTTATTTGCTTTGCGTGATTGATTTGGATGAATGAAAGTAAACTAAAATAATGATAAACAAATAACGTTAAACCCTTGACCCTATTAATATTATCATATTTTCTCAGTTCTCCATATCAAGAACAATGAGTTGTGTGAGTGATTTGTCTCAATCTAGCGAATATCTTAGTTTTCGAAGTAGTATACCACTGAGGAAAATTGTTGTAGATTCCGATGGAGTAAAGGTAATTTTATAGCTTTCCTTTTTGCTAAAATCCATTCTATAAAGATTTTACATGTTCTTTATTTTTACAATAAATCTTATCTGCATAAAATATTAAAGATTCTTGTATAAAATAGTATAAGGTACCTATTAAAAACTGACAATATTATTTTCACTTCTGTCATACTTATTTGTATAATTTTGTTACAGACTTGGAGGATTTTTGATTCAGGTCCTAAGTCGGTTAATTGTCCGCTGATTTGTTTGCCACCAGTATCTGGAACAGCTGATATTTTCTATAAACAAGTAATGGGTTTAGCTTCAAGAGGTATTAGAGTAATTGCAGCAGAGCCTCCTCCTTATTGGAACATGAAAGAATGGTGTGATGGTTTTAAACGCCTCATAGATTATTTAGAATTAGATAAAGTTCATGTCTTTGGAGCTTCTTTAGGTGAATAATTTATTTTTTTCTTTGTACATAAATAGACACAGTATTGATTTATTAAAAAAAAATAGAGACGTTACAATTATAAATATACTATATAGAATGTTCTATTGGTAATTAACTATGCAGTTGCCTTTGTCCTCTATTAAAAAATAACTTAAACTTCTAGGAGGATTCATGGCCCAGAAATTTGCAGAGCTAACAAGAAACTGTTCCCGTGTGGCATCACTTATACTTTGCAACACATTTACTGATACTTCTGTTTTTGAATATAACGATTCTTCTGCTCTCTTCTGGCTCCTACCTTCATTGGTGTTGAAACGAATGCTAATGGGTAACTTTACTACTGAGAAAGTTGATAGAAGAATGGCTGAATCTATTGATTTTATGGTGGAAAGAGTAAGTATTTTTATAATCTCTATTTACCCATATTTGCTTGTATTGTTTAATTTAGATTTGTAATTTGTAGTTTTATGTGATGAAGATACAAATATTTTTTATTTCTATCTATATAACTTATCTATAATTTTATTAACATACAACATTTGTTGCCATGTTATATCTATAACTTTTATCTATGATCTGTCTGTCCTTACACCCTAATATATAAAATATGCCTAACATTAAAAGTATAATAAGTTATTACATAAAATAATTTTTGTCACACGATTTAATGTATTGTGAAGAACTGATGTCTGAAGTAGGATAAACCTATGTTACAGATCACCAGATCTGCACCCCACAGACTTTGTGCTATTACACAATTTGTTCTGGTTATAAATATAATAACAAAATTAACATACATAGGGTTATATATTCAATATATTGCACACATATATACACACACACACACACACACACATATATTGTAATAATATTATACTGTTATTATTAATATACTGTTTTCAATTTATAACTTTTAGTCATCATATGTCAAATGTCAGAACAGCTTAGTCATAATCCTAATTGATTTTCTTTTTTCTTTTGGTCTATATCTTTTCTATTTAAATGTCTTTTATTTCAGTTGGAATCTCTTACTCAGTCAGAGTTAGCCTCAAGATTAACTCTTAACTGCAGTCCAAGTTATGTCCAGCCACAGCAATTAAATAATATTCCAATAACTATAATGGATGTATGGGATGAAAGTGCATTGAGTTCCCAAGTTCGGGAAGACATATACAAGTCATACCCTCATGCAAAACGTGCCCATTTAAAAAATGGTGGCAATTTTCCATATTTGAGTAGAAGTGATGAAGTAAACTTGCATTTACTAGTAAGTGGATACATTTTTATACCCTGTTGAAGCTACCAATTCTTATTTCTCTATATTGCAGTATCGTAATTTAAGTACAACAATCATCGTTATCATATCGGTCTTTAACTGTCCACTGAAGAACATAGCCATAACTCCCCTAATAATAATAAAATAATTGGTCCTCATTGCTTTCCCAGGTTTTAAAAAATATTGCGTTAGCTGGATTTTTTTTTTTTTTGTTGAAAAATCAACCTTCTTATCATATTATTAAATATTATTGTAAAATATGAAACTACAATATATATTTTTACTTTATTCCAGATTCATCTACGACAATTTGACAATACAGAATTAACAGCATCTTATTTAAATCTTCATAAGATGCCTGCATCTTCTAACGAAAATTCTGATGAAGGCTCAGTTAGTTATTTCAATCGGGAGAATTTTGTAAAAATATCAAATTAATTGTTTGTAATGGAGTAAAATGTGGTAATAGGTTTGAGTATAAGTAATAATTACTACTACATACTAAAAGAATAATATAGGTGTCTACATTTGCTAGGGATAATAATTTTCTAGTTTTTTTTTAAGCAGTTACAAGCTTATTTTTATGAATTATTATATTTATTACAAATAACTGACAAAGCAGGAAAGATATTCAAGCAATTAAGCAATTCTATGTGTTTTTTTTTTTAAACTGCTGCAATGGACGCCAAGCCTCTTAAGATTCGCCACATTGCAATTTTCTGTTAATTTATAGTGTGTATAAGTAAAAATAAATTACAAGACGTAATGAAACTATTCGTAAGTAGACGTCTAGGATTGGCGATTCTGTAGTGTTTATCTATTTAAATTGAATTATACATTAAGAGCGAAAGTTATTTATGGACCACTAAAAAGTGAATTTAAAATTTGCTACTAATTTAATTCGTTCTGATCCTTAGATTAATGATATCGCTATATCATTAATCTAAGGATCTACATTACGTAACATTACGAAAAGAGTTACATATAGGTATACCTACATTTCTAAATGCATACTCGTCAAGTGTATGCAGTACCTTATTAAAGCAAAATGGAAAATTATCAAGTTGTTAATCTTTCATAAATATTCTGTTGTCTATATTTGAATATTTAAAATATTATGAATAATAATCATCCAACAGAAATTTTATTAACCTATAGTATAATACTATAGGTTTGTTAGTTGCAGTAACTTAACATGTTAGGTATATATTGGTAAAAATATTTCTTAGATTTGAAAACATTGAATTCAAATTAATTACACGTACTAAAGATATCGCAGTTTATATTAAAATTTATAGAAAACCTTTTATAAATATTGTAAATTTTAATGTGATTTTGATATTTAGTATGTTTCCGATTTTTTGTTGCTTTGTGTGTTCGTTTTAAGTATACACTGTGTATAAAAATTGCAATTTTCACTAATTTATATACAATATAAATATTGTTACAAAATAATAAGTAACATTTATCTGATATTAATGAAATGTATAAAATACGTACTGTTAAATAAAAATTATTGTGTTTTATCTCTTTTTTACCATTATACTACTATGTTATTAATAAAAGAAAATGTGAGGCCAATTTCATAAGACTGTCAATCATGTGAATAGTTTGTAAGTGGACATTATATAATGTTATTTAAAGAGTGCATCAGGACTTATTAGACGCAATAAAATAATATATATTTAATTGCTTTTTTCTGAGTTAGAATAGAAATAATCTTTATTCAAATAGGCTTTTTTGCAAGCTCTTTTCATTTACTACTACTGCTGGGTTCAGGATATTATTATCTGTTGAGAAGAAACCGTAACTCAACAGTCACTCTTCATTTATTATATACCAGATAATCTTACTTTTGCATGGGTACTTTGACTATAATTAAAGTTGTAATTATATGTATTATTCAATGGAAAATAAACAAGTGAACATAATGAAGCCAACCATCATTGCGTTCAAGTTTCCAGTCACGACCTTGGTGATATTCCATATACGATAGCCGTTCTTTGGTTTTATCCGCCTAAACCAATATAAAAATATCCTTCGTATGTATAACTTATTCGTGTACTAAATTTAATTCCAATCCGTTCAGCCATTTTAGAGTGATAAGTATCTAAACATCCACTTATAATATTAATGGGATTTGAAGAAGGTTGTTTAAATCAAGACACATCAACATATTTATATTAATTTATTAATAAGTGCTACTATAACTTAATGATTCTATGTTTCTTTTTCTAGCTTATTTAAATTCTTTTCTTTCTTCTCTTTCTGCGCTTGTAATGCTTTCTCTCTCTCTTCATCATCTGAGAAATATTCAGCCAGGCTATCATCTTCATGTGGCACACTCTGACCTGCCATTGTCGTGCCTTTATCTGTCAGTGCATTTATTTTGACTAGAGGATCTGCATATATATCTGAGATTTCGGGTTGTTCTTGTGTTGGTTGGGCATTGTGTGCTGTAACTGTTGAATATATTGACATAGCCTGAAATGAATGAAAATAAAAAAAATATTTTTATATAATACAAAATAAATATTATTGTGTAAATAGAAGCCAGTCTACCCATAACAAAAACGTGTGGAGTTTATATTTACTAGGAAACAAGTGGCCATTATTCAAATTATAAACTTTTAAAGAGACTTCATCTTTAAACCCCCTTTAAACAAGTAGCAAACTGACCCATCGGTAGATGCATACGCATGAAAAAGTGTCTCATTTCCAGGGTAGGGAGAACTTATCTATCGACAGTTTCGCTCGCAACACAAATGTTCATTTATTAAAGTTTAAAGTGCTGCGTGTCTATGGATATGAGGAGAGGGATTGTCAAATTGATTTCCACGGAAGAGAACTTTCCCATGGACACTATTATGGTTGATTCATCGTAAATTCATCACAATGACCTTTATGCTCAGCTATCGTCCTTCACTGGTATTCCGGCAACGTATATTAAAAGTACAAGCGAGTTACAATTAAATTTTCATCCTATGAAAAAATATGAGGATACATTACGGTTACGTCAAATTATTTAGTCCCTACATTATAAAAAAAACGTATTTGGCAACCAAGAAATTATTCATACCTGTGCCACTAAATTTGACACATCTCCTGCATTAGCTGGCAAAATGAGAGTATTGTTTGTTCTTGCTAATTTATTAAATGCAGATACATATTGCTCAGCTAGCGTAAGTGATGCTGCATGCTTGCTGTCCTGTAATAAAAATAAATATCACATAAAAAGCTTATTATTTACAAATGAAAATCATATTTTGATATTGTATTAATCACAATATCAAAATATGATTGATGATCAATATCAAAATAGAATTTTAATATGTACCAATCAGCCAAATGTTGAATAACTGTAAATAAATGTACTGAATTTTGAATATAACCAGTACAGATAAAAAATTAACCTCCCAAGATGAAGTCAGATTTTTTTATATTAACATAAATCTGACACACACAAATAATAGCACCATGGAAATTACAAGGTACTGAATTCTCAATACAATCCTAAACTTTTTCTTTTATAATAGCTTAATATGTGGTGGTATAAAACAAATGCTGCAGAAGCAATATTCAGTGTACAATCCATGAAAAAGATCAACCTGTGAGTTATGTAAACCTAACTCACCGCTTGGCCGTGCTATGTAGGTTTACAAGCTGCTTTTCTTTTGAACACCTCAAGATTGTAAATTGGAGAAAAAATACAGGAAGGGAGGTGGTTTCACATTTTAATTGTATAAGTCAAATTACGTTTATTTACAATAGTTTCATATTTACATGAACACTTCTTGAGAAATTATAAAATGAAAAGTACCTAATACAATATATTTATCCCGTTCAATTGATTGAACACACAGGGTTAAATAATAAATATATAAACATCTTTGCCAACTTCCAAGAATAATCAGAAAAAATACCATACCGGTTCAGCTAGAGCACTGGCTATAAGTTTGAGGCCGCGAGCACGTGCATCGGCCACCGCTAGCATGGCTTGGGCCTCACCAGATGCCTTGTTAATTTGTTCCTGCTTCTCAGCCTCTAAATAAAATATTGAAAAATATTAAAAGGATATGTAAATACATAGAATACATCACTCTTTTTCCCATGGGTGTCGTGAGAGGCGATTAAGAGATGACGAGAGATGGGCGGCAGCATCTAGACCACTGGACCTAAAGACGTGTTTAAGTTACTACTGTGTTAGTGTTTATGTCAATAAAATTTGGAAATTTAAGTTTCTAAAAATATCCCAATAAAAAGGCCCTGTTTTTAGTACAATTTGGTGAGGTAAATTAAACCAATACAAATTTATACTCGAGGATTAAAATAAAATACTGATTCAAGGCCCTTGTATATTCCTTCCTCATTGAACTATCTTTCCTTTTAAGTTTTTTTATCATTACATATATATATACAGACTAATTTTTAATACCTGAAGCTAATATCCTTGCTTGGCGCTTCCCCTCTGCGACATTGATGTCAGCGGCTCTCACGCCTTCAGACTCCAGTATAGCCGCCCGCTTCCGTCGCTCTGCTTCAACTTGCATTTGCATGGCCTCGTGAACACGTGATGGAAGCTTAATGTCACCTGTAATACTTAATTTTTAGTGTTCAGTGCTACAATTGAAAAAAATAATAACTGCAGTATATATGTTGTAGCTGTTTATCTCAGAAATAATAAGTCTATATAACATTGAAAAACAGAGATGGAATGATTATACTAATAATAAGACTTATTGAAATCATAGGGTATAATGCAAACATAATGCGGCGTTACAAGTGTATATACACATAAAACAAAATTCCCAATTCAAAAAAATCTTAATATAGCAGCATAAACATAATAGCTAATAATAGCATTTATTTGCATTTAATGTAAAAATATTTCTCCAAATCTCAAGCAAATAGTATTTCTGTCCAAAAAAAAAGGAAATCACCTTACTTCTGTTGCTAACTATACTATAAAAATGCACATATATATAAAAAATATGACAGAAACTTACGAATCTCATATCGGAGGCAAGTAATGCCCCAAGCTTCACTTGCTTTGTTGATAGCATGAACTATTGACACATTCAGAGATTCCCTTTCTCTGAATACCTTATCTAATGATATTTGACCAAGTTCTGAACGCATAGTTGTTTGGGCAAGCTGTGTGATTGCAAATTCTGGGTCTTCAACACCATATGATGCTGAAATTCAGATTAGGAAAGGTATAGTAGAACATTAATCTACAAAAGTATATTATAGTCCTCACAACGACTACTTCATGACACTACTGTTCTCTACAGCTTTGCCTGAGTAAAACATATTCTATATGTTTAATTAGGATTAATCAACCATTTAAGAGTGATTGAGTAATAAATATGCAAGCATTTTTACAAACTTTCATTATGATTTCAATAGGATTAATGCACTTAAAATACTTTTAGTTTTTTCATATATACAGCTTAAGAATAGCTTAGTAACATAATTTTTACTTTCTAGAATACATCATCATATCAGCTAATAACTATCCACTGAACATAGGCCTTGCCTTATTGGGGTTTTTTTTCATACAACTTAGAATGACAAACAAGCTGAAGATCCACCTGATGGAAAGTAGTAACTGTCGCCTATAGACATGAGTAGTACCATGGACACAACTGAGTACATCATTTCGCCCATGATGCCCCTATGTGTTGCCATTCCTGAGGACTCAGGTGTTATTCCTCCGTACCCTGTAAATTCACACCATATCCCACCCTTCAAACTGAAACACAGCTATGAAAACACAATTGCTTTATGGTTGAAACACGAATGGGACAGAGGTACTCAAGCAAATTACTTTTCTCCCTCTGGTAGCCCTTTGGCTTCTAGAATATATACATGAAACTAAAATTATAATAACTAGGTATATGTTTAAAATCATTTACCTAAATATGGATCTATAATACGTAGATACAATACCCCATCAATACTCAATGTAACATTATCAGATGTTATGGCACCTTGTTTTGGTACATCTATAGCTATTTCTTTCAAACTTTGCACATACTTTATCTTATCCACAATAGGCCATAACAAATTCAGTCCTGGTTCAAGGATTCTATGGAATTTACCCATACGCTCAACTATCCAAGCCTGAAATATTAAATATTATATGTAATAATTTGTTAGATATTTTTACAAATAGTCAGTGTATGTTTTAATTTATGAAGAATAAATTGTAATTTCTACTGCATGTTTCAATATTAATTTCTATTTAATATTAAAATATTAATTTAAATTGTTATATTATTTACAAGTTTAATAGAATTTAAAATTTCTTTTGGGGAAATATATTTCATTGATAATAATTTGTTCCGGACGGAACTTTAGAAACGAGTTCATGAAATATAGTTAACAAAAAATATAGCAAGAGACGACATAAATATACATCTACCGACTTGATACATACCTCTTGCTGTGGAACAAACATTATGATCGTATTGAGTGGTGTAGTTGAGCGACTTCTTACCGACGTGATACTATAAAGAAAACGAGTCTCATTTTGAAAATCCGGCTTCAAAACATTCTGAAAACATCACACGTACTATAAGGTTATGTCATAATTCTTATATTATTTCGAAAATTTAATAAACACATACTCTCAAAGAAACAGCTTTGCTGAAAAGTAATCTAGATCGAGTGAACATGATAAAATTTGTGAATTTACATATAATTTAAAAAAATTCAGGACATCCTCTGAGTTTCGACAACTTTATTATTTGTTTGTAGAGTTGGCAGCATAATATATAGCATACAGTTACAGTATCTATATATTAACCCAAATCCGGATAACCTTGTAGTTTTCAACAGGGTCGATTCTGAAACGCTACATCTCTATACCCATTTATAACATTAAAATTTCAGTTTGATATCACTATCAAATAGATATCAATATCTTTATTCTAAAGATTAATATGAATTAAATTATTGGTAGATTTAAGTCAAAATTATAATAAACTTAGTTTATGATCATTAGGTTAAGGAATAGGGTTAGTTTTATATAATATATAGAGTTTGCGCTAAATATTAGAAAAATTAAAGAATAGTAATCAAGTGATATTTTTAGTAGCAAGACAATTTTTTTTAAGGTGTTAATCATAACAGACAGATACAATAAAAAAAAAACTAACTGCCATGAAGTATTTATACAATAACAATTAGAAAAATGGCACCTCAGAAACGACCTCATTATCTATATACTAAATAAATGGATATCGCATCCGATCAACCCAGTATTTAGATATCAGTAATGCTGATAAAAAAAATTAAACTTGCTCGCCAAGGGTTCCGTTCTAAATAAATTGCAAATTATGAATGTGTTATAATATATTTAATACGCATAATTGTCGACGTTTTATTTTACATTACATTGTACAATATATGAGTTAGTGGCATTCATAAATTATAAGCAAATAACAGTTTAGCGACAACTATATTTTTTGTAGGTACACTGGTTAACGGAAATGACGTGTTTTATGGAAGAATGCATGTAAAACGTTGGCATGACGGCGGTCAGTTTTGAATTTCATTGTTTGTTCAATAGTTTAATATTTAACAGTGATTTTTTTCTCTGTGATTAAATCGAATTCTTGTGATTGTGTAGACATTAATTAGTAGTTTTTATATTCGAGAATTTAACCTGCAGAGAGTACGTTATTGTAATTTTACGTCATTTGCAGAAGTTTTTATCATAATGCATAATAATTATACATCTTGTAGTTTATTCACTGACAATTATTCTGAATCTAATATTATGGCAAAGATTAGAAGATTAAAAATACAAGAGGATCTTATTACTCAAAATATTAATAAATATAATACGAAAATAAGGAACACAGAGTACGCTAATATGCGTCACAAAACAAATTGTGAATACAAAGATTTTATTTCAAGATTGCAAAATTCATACACTGAAATAAAAAATTTGTTTGAGTCTGTAAAGACTATTGCTCATTCAAGAGAAACCTTACAATCTGTCGGTAAGTACCTAAACTCGTATCTAATTTTCAAGTAGGTATGTATAGACTTTTTGACCCATAATCCTTGGTATGAATTAGATCTATCAGGCGCTTAAATTTGTATTATTATATTATTTATTTCTGTTATTTAATATTCTGTTAAATTTAATTAATATCTATTCCGAAATCTTTGATTAATATATTTGATAAATTTTTTTTCTTCAGGTATCGACGACGTGAAGAACGATGTTTTTGGCTTAGAAACAAAAATAAAAGAGTTCAAGTTATATCTCCATTCTAAATTAAATTCTTTAAAATCAAATGAACAACACTTAATCAAAGATGTAAGTATATAACAAACCTAACCGCCAAGAGGTAACAAAGAGATAAAAAAAGTTCAATTTCTACTCTTACTTTTCTACTTAATTTAACGAAATGGCCTAATTCACATCTACTACTAATTTCTTGGTTTTCAAGGACGTTTTTCAGTTTTTTTAATAGATGATAGTGGAATGGAAACTGCGGCTGAGCAAACGGTATACGCTGGCGGGGCACCGGTGCGGGATGATAGGTGAGAATGAAAAAGTAGGTCAGTTAGCCCATCGTGATGAATACACATGGAATTCAGCACGATGGTTTCCAGGAGGACCACGTAGAGGTCGAGCTGTTAGGGTATATTGCTAGCAATTGTATTGATAGTCCGCATCATTAAAAATCCCCCACCCCCGATGTTTTTCAGTTTACCAGGGAATTTTAATGCTCGACGAATGAGCAGCAGCGTTCCTTTTAAAACATCATCAAAATCTAACTGTGATTGCTGGGGTGAAAAGGATTGTTAGTAATGAGGTCTAATAGTTCCATTGCTAGCAATATACCCTCTCAGGTCGGCCTCCACGCAGTTCCCCCTGGAAATCATCATGTTTAATTCTTGTCAAATTCATCATGGTGGGCTAATTGACCTGCATTCATTCTCACCTACTATCTTCCACTGGTGCCTCGTCGGTGTATACCAATAGCACGGGCGGGGTTACCATTCCATTTTCACCCATTAAAAAAAACTGCGATTGCTAATCCGCCTACCGAGCGTGGCCAGCTACTGGAAAAACCACCCAAGGGAAGGTCTATGTTCAGCAGTGGACAGGTATGACGGTAATGATGATATTGTAATCATTCTGACAATATTTCGACTAAGATCTCTATTTACCATTTATACAGTCTAATGAACTGTCTAGCAGTATCTATTATATGGTAAATAAGAAATAATGTTCTCTTTTACATTTTGTACGCTACCATAAAGAACAAGTTTTTTTTTTTTTTTGTTGAAGTGAATACATCTTCTATTTAAGAGAAAGCCGTGCGGTATCATAACACTTATTAGTTATTTTTTTGATAACTATATATTGCAATCGATATTCTTAAGTACTTGCTTTTTTTTCAGATACATACGATAGCACATCAATCAGCAAAGACGAAAACATTAAAAAAATTAAATAATAAATCATACAATGATATCATTCCAAGTCCAGTAAAAACAATTATAAATTCTCCATTTAAATGCATTGTAAGTAAATACTTAATTAATTCCCAAAATTATATGTGGGTATACCAAAAGTCAATAAACAATGTTCCATATTGTATAGGTGCTTGGTAAATGTAAATTGAACTGTTTTGTGCACTAAGTCTAAATATAGACGCATGGTTTCAAGCGTCTATTTAATTCAATACTAGCTTTTATCCGTAACTTCGTCTGCGTGATCGTGATATTATAAGAATATTCGTTGCTCGCAGTGAAAAATAGCCTATGTTCTTCTCCATTCCAAATACTAGATATATATACGTAAAATTTCACGATATTTTATTATTTTTAAGCCGTTAAGCCAGGAAGAGGTAACCTACAAACAAACACACATACAAATAGAAAGTATATATATATATATATATATATATATATATATATATATATATATATATATATATATATATATATATATATATATATATATATATAACTTTCATTCTTTATGTGGTGCAATACGGAGTAAATAAATAAATAAGTAAGAATTATGGGCCTATTTTAGGAAGTTCAAGAATTCCAAAATTTTATTGCCGCTTATCGTCGATATGGAGGATGGAATGAGTACAATCACAATATATTTGTACGATTATGGAAAAAGTATTTTGATACAGAGAAATACCTAGATTCAACATATCAGTATTCAAGTTCTGAAAACTTCCCAAACATTGTGGGCGATCTTGTTGAAAAAATTCCAGGTACCTAAATATTAAACCCCTTAGCAACATCAATGCATGGGAGGTACTTTAGGCATTACGCTATATTCCATGGATATAGACGACGGTTACCAGTTTCTATCACTTGAATAAATTTATTTTCTGTTTAAGGTAAATTTAGACACAAAAGAGACTTGGTCATTCTTGTTCAGAAAAAAAAACTCGGATTATTGCCATGGTAACTGTAATATACCTAGAACATGAGATGTAAGCTCTTTGTCTTTATATTTTCGTTATAAACAATATTTCTGTTTGAGAGAAGATTTTTTATGGATATTGTATGAGATACTTTCAGTTACAGTCAAGATATAATCTATTTTAGATTAAACATCTTTATTAAATATATATTTAACTTAACAGGTACAACTAAAGATGAAATTATTGCGCATATAGAATGGTATATAAAATATCTGTACTTGAAAGATCGTCAGCAAAAAGCTTTAGATAAATGGAAAACAAATAAAAAGAAAATAAACAAATGTCATCGTATTTTGCAGGTAAAAAAGGATTATGTACTTTCATTTGTGGCTAATAGTTTTTAAGTGGACCAGTTTTACAATAATATCATCATTATCGTCATATCAGCCGTTAACCGTCTACTGTTGAGTATAGGACTCCTCCATAATGAGTGAACAATTTAATATAATTTTATATATCTACAGTAGCTAACCCGGCCAATGTGGGGAGAAAGGGATTGTTAGTAATGGAGACTAAAAATACCATTATTAGCAATATACCCAACCAGGTCGACCTCTATGGAAACTATCATGGTTGATTCCTGATGAATTCATCATGGTGGGCTGGCTGGCCTGTTTTCATTCTCATCTATCACCCTTCACTGGTACTCCGCCAGCGTATCCTGTTAGCGCAGGCGGGGTTACCATTCCATTTTCACCTATCAAAAAAAAACCCGGTCAATGTTGTTCTGCCATATAAATATTTTTTTTTTCTGAATAGAATATAAAATACTTTACGACCTATTCTAATACCTACCAGATATATGTAAAAAAAAATCAATCGCGCTGTTTCAAAAGACTGTGACCACAACCGCTGTGACACAAGATTTATACATATATAACTTCTAAGGTGCAGTGTTGGGCACTTTGCTTTGCATGAATAAAGTCCCGGGATTATTTTTTTTTTCAAGCCGTTTTAAGAAACGAAGTTTTCTGAATTGGCTCAAATCTGGGTGTTCTGGGTTGCACCACTAGATCTTCGTTGTCTGGTTCCATTTCTTCATTACATAGGATATTCTAATTTGGGAATTAGGCAATTGTGTGTGATTGTGTGCCACTTATTATTATTAATAAAGTGACTAAACATTTTGTGCAGAATCAAAAAACTATCGGACAAGAGGAGCTTGCGAAGGCATCAACTAAAAGGATTTGTGGGAACAGGCTAGAGAAATATCAAAACGTAAAAAGGACCAATTCAGGTAGCATTCAAAAACCTGCTAGACTATTATCATTTGTTTTTAATTTTGTGTTGATAAATATCTCACTAAAACTCACTAAATTAAACGTTCGCTTACTTTCAGAAGATGAAAAACCAACGGAGAATACGATATCTTCGGATATATTTGAGTGAGTATATACGAAAAATTACAATGATAATATCTAATTAGAATGTAGATATAATTTAAATTCAAACCATTTATTGCACGAATACTCGTATGCGTACATGCATTAGGTGAAAATATTTTTTATAATTCCATTATTCAATATTTACCATATCGGCATGGACAATATAATAATATTAGTTCAAACATTTGAGGATTGGCGGTAAACTGTTTTCATCATTAAAAAAAATATTATAATTAAATATTTATTTATACTATTTATAATATTAATAGGATATGTAAGTAATTCAAGGCTAAAGTGTTTACGATTAAAATGTTGCTAGAGCATACGTAACTAGATATTTTTCTAATGTATGAAATTTAAGTCAAGATGATAAATATAGTTGTATAGGGGGGAAAGGGATTGTTAGTAATGGAGACTGAAAATCCCATTGCTAGCAATATACCCAACCAGGTCGACCTCCTCGCGGTTCTCCCTGGAAACTATCGTGGTTAATTCCTGATGAATTCATCATGATGGGCTAACTGGCCTGTTTTCATTCTCATCAATCACCCTTCACTGGGTTTACCATACCATTTTCACCCATAAAAAAAAATAGTTGTATGTTTTATATTTATACATATTGTGATAGTAAACCAGCCATGTTATCGATATACGCTGGCGACTACCAGTGAGGGATGATAGGTAAAGATAAATTTAAATTAGTTGGTTGATTTTGTGCGTGACGAATTCCGTCAGCGCATAAACCGCAATGGTTTCTAGAGGTGGCCACTGGATATCGAAAACAATAGTTTAAAATATAATTTATGATAATCACTATGAAACTTTGTTTTAGGGACGAATGCGAAATGTCTTTGTTGAACTTATTTGATGAAAAGCAAATATTTAGTGATTTGTTGACTGACGTAGATAATAATAAAACATCTAAAGATTGCACAAATATAAGAAAAAATGATAAATTACTACATCGCCTATCGAAACCCACGAAACAATGGAGGGAAAGGTGTAATACAAAATTGGACACCAGTACAGCATATCATCAAATAAACAGTATTGATAACACAGGAAAACTGTAAGCACCTCTTAAGCCTATTAATTTTTATTATTTCTCCAACTAAAGGACGTGGAGAAGAATACCTACTAATAACTTGTTTTATAACTTTTTCCAGTGGTGTTCCAAAATGGAGGTTAAGTTTTCGAGAGGAATAGATGCTACAGTTTCTATTAACTATCTAGTATTATGTGACTAATTTTAAAAATATATAACAGTGTAAAAGGTCTACTCACGTATCCTAATTTGGCCCTTAGGTTTTTATCACGAAAAAGTTATATTTTTCCAGTAGTATTCTAAAATGGAGATTAAGTTTTCAAAAAGAATAGACGCTTCAGTTTACTATTAAATATCTAGTAATAGGTAACGAATTTTTAAAATATATAATAGTGTAAAAGATCTACTCACGTGGCCCAATTTAGTCATTAGGTTTTTATCGATTATTGATAAATGATTAATAAAGTAGCTCAGTACATAAGAAGCCTAACTGTTAATATTCTTCTTAACTATGCAGTAGTAATCAAATGTGTGTTAAAAAATTAAAATTAAACTTAATATTTATGACTGGTTACTTTGTTTTATTTGTTTACTCGATAATTTGAACAAAGTGATGGTTTCTATCAATGTAATTTCTCTATTTCATTTCTTGATACTAATATACTCGTATATACAAATACACATACACTAATGTTTAGTCCCAAACTGAACAAATCCTGTATATATTAGGAATGCCACTTCATTGATAGATAATTGTTACACGAATAAGTATATTTAATGAAATCTAATCATTACGGGAATCGAGCTTGCAATCATATTTTTATTGCAGTGTTTTGATAAATTGATACGACGAAATTAGTAGAGCCGTATATTTCAACTGATTGGTATATATGGTATGTATTAATAGTTTTTTTTTATGGGTGAAAATGGTATGGTAACTCCGCCTGCGCTAACGGTATACGCTTGCGGAGCACCAGTGAAGGGTGATAGATGAGAATGAAAACAGGCCAGTTAGCCCATCATGATGAATTCATCAGGAATTAACCATGATAGTTTCCAGGGAGAAACGCGAGGAGGTCGATCTGGTTGGGTATATTGCTAGCAATGGGATTCTCAGTCTCCATTACTAACAATCCCTTTCCCCTTGGTATTAATAGTTTATCTATTAATACCATATATACTAAATACAAAGAAAATTAAAGTAGAAATGAAAAAAAAAATGTAGACATTTTTGATAATATATAGATCCATTTGCGAAATATAATAAAATTATACATAATTACATTAGTCCAGTAGATCTTTTGTAGACAATTTATTTTTAAGTGCTACTTACTATAGCATAAATTTTGTAGTAAATTTTTTCTGATTCCGATTTTTATGATTCCGTTAAACGAAATACATAGAATTTACTAATGTATTGCATTTCATACCTGCATTCAACACTATTAAAGTCTAGATAACGCATAGCGTTCCATTTAGTAGGCAGAAACAATAACATAGTGATTAATTACAAAGGGGAAGGGATTGTTAGTAATGGGGATGTTAGTCCACATCGCTATCAATATACCTTGTCAGGTCGACCTCCAAGCGGTTCCCCCTGAAAACCATCGTGACTAATTTATCGTTGAATTCGTCACAATGGGCTATCTGACTTGCCTTTTCATCCTCACTGGTACTCTGCCAGTGTATACCGATAGTGCAGGCAGGGTTACCATTCCATTATCATCCATCAAAAAATAAACATTGTGATTACTTGCTCTGTGGAGTACGCTTAAATGAGCTTTATGGTTGATTGATGACAGTGACAGCCATTTTATGTTTAACTGACTTTTGGTTAGTCTGCCTTTGACGTCATCCTGACGTGGATTTTGCTTGCTCGTATCATTTCAATTCTCATAATCTTATTTCCTGCTCATAACTCAAACTCATTCCACCGCCGACGTTTCTACGTTATAATTTTTAGATATAAGTATTATCCATTGTGCCAAAAATAAAGTTTCTTTTAAAAAGTAAAAATAGCAAGAAAGAAAACAAAACTTGTTCTAACCATGGTTGCAATTGCAACGGCACTAAGTTTACTTTTAATTTTCACGACTGCTCGCTCAGATGAAGCTCCTAAAGGACCTAAAGTTACTCACAAGGTAAGATTAAACTTTTAAGCATAATACATACAGTTTAAAAATTTATGAGGTTCATTTCCCTTAAAAAGTGTTTATTGTGAAGAGTTGATGACCCGTGATGCGGTCGGTGACCTTTAGAAATGACGCTACAAGTTTCTTTCATCTTTAAATCTTCCTTTTATTCATAAATATCTAATTAAACAAAAAATATAAAATATATTTGTCACTGTAGCTATATAATCCTCTTTATTGTCCAGTAAGTAAGCAAAAGCTAGGTCATATCAATCAAAGGAAATATGGCCATTGTGTTGTAATTCAAGCATATTCCTATAGCAACAATTGAATTAAATTATATGTGTTAGGACTGTAAAGAAGAAACTGGTATGTGTGTGATTTTTTTAGTATATTACATTAATAAGTTATTTTTCAATGTAATTAATTAAAAAGGAAAAAGAAAAAAATTACAGTGTTATATTAATAATGAATAATGATTCATTATTCAGTACTGTTAGTCTTAAATTACTAGTAGTTATCAAAAAAGATAGGTAATAAAATAATCTACAATATTGTAAACTAGCAATCTGTTTTAGCTTTACACAGGTAAATAGATAAAATAATAATTAATATAGATGTAAAAGTTTAGTTTGTTGCTTTAAAAGTTCCATCAATTAATATTACATTAAACATATATGCAATATTTGAGGTATCCACTAACAGGCTTTGGGTCATCTGGATGGACAAAGGAGTAGTCCTAGGTCAATTGTCATAGTAACAAAGTACAGTATGACAATTGACCTAAGATACTTTTTGAAATCAGTTATACAAATAAAATAATAGAATAAATCAATCAATTAACAAATTATAATTTTATTCTACCAATTTATTTCATTCAATGTTAATAATATAAATACATGTTAAAATTTTCCATCACCTACTGAAACCCATATGGATCCAAACATTATAGTTGCCATTTAAAATATTTTCTGTTCCCAACAGGTTAGCTTTGACATTACCTTAGGAGATGAAAACATTGGCACTATTGTGATTGGTTTGTTTGGGAAAACAGTACCAAAAACTGTTGAGAACTTCTTCCAATTAGCACAGAAACCTGCTGGTGAAGGATACAAAGGGAGCAAGTTCCACAGAGTTATTGATAACTTTATGATCCAAGGAGGTGATTTCACTAAGGGTGATGGTACTGGAGGTAATTATTACAACTGTTTGTAAAATATATGAAAAGATAATTAATAAATATATTTAAGCCTGGACATCTAAGGATACTGACATGCACATTCTTTATGAATATTGGTATATGAATAAGTACAACAAAAATTAAATTCAAACTTGCTGTTCTAAAGTATAATTTAGTAAAAGTTAATAGGTCTTTTATGGTAATAGACACAAAATGTTATAATAAGATACTAAAGCATATTTTAGATCTGCCTTTTAATAATTTTAAAACTGTTATTGAAAAACACTTATTAAACATAGCCTATGCACTTTTTAATTGACAGAAGGAGAATGGTAATCAGAATGACAGGTCAAGTGAGGTCAAATCTAGTCTTATATGAACATAATAAAAATTTATTTTGTGACAGATAACTTTATCTCATAAAATATTATTTTTATTTATGAACTTCATTTATATTTATCAATTGGGTTCATCCATCCCTTTCAGTTAGCAGACTTGACAGAAAAAAATTTAAAACTTGTCTAAGTCATCAGCTAAGATAGTCACTTGTTTGCTGTTACCAGTAACTTGATTTCAAAATTTAGAATCCTATGCTAGAAATTTTAATATATTTTATAACCCTGATTTGCATTTGTGACTTGACCTATTAATTAGTATATATAATCATCACATCTAATCTAGATATGTATATATAATGATAAGTAGTAAATTAATAAGTTATAGTAACTCTTTGCCTTTATTAAAACAATAATTGTCAATAGAAAGAGTTACTGTATAATCTAAATTGCAAGCTACTTTACTTTAGGATTATACAATAATTATATAAGTACTTATAAAGAATAACTATTCTAGGTCGCAGTATTTATGGTGAGCGTTTTGAAGATGAGAATTTCAAACTTCGCCACTATGGAGCTGGCTGGCTCTCAATGGCCAATGCTGGAAAGGACACTAATGGTTCCCAATTCTTTATCACCACTACTAAAACACCTTGGTTGGACGGTAGACACGTTGTTTTTGGAAAGATTTTAGAGGGCATGGTGAGTACTAATTATTTACTTATATAATTTGTAAAAAAAGTCGATATGTATTAATAACTTAACCAGATAAGTAAGGTAAATAAACCCTTAGTTATTATATTCATTCTTTTAATAGCCTCTTGGGACAACCATAGGCAAAAACTATAAATTGTTAATAACAGGACAGATACAGGAGAGACAGGACACAATTCAGTTATTTTGCTGTCCCAGGCAAATATCCTTGACAATGACATCTTTTTTAATGGGATGCAAATGAAATGGTAACTCCGTTTTCGTTATCCATATACACTGGCAGGTACCACAGCGGAATGATGATGATGATGACCTATTCTATGCTACTAAGAAGTATTGATTTTCTTTTCTAAAACTACTATTATAGCTCTACTTATTCCTTAAAGTGTTAATATTTCATGTATGTACATTGTAAGTTATGTTTTTAACAATATATACACAATAATATTTTCTTACAGGATGTTGTTCGCAAGATTGAAAAGACTGTAACAGGATCCAACGACCGTCCAGTAAAGGATGTTGTGATCGCAGATTCTCGTGCTGAAGTTGTTTCAGAACCTTTTAGTGTTACAAAAGAAAGTGCTCAATAATATAAAATTAAATAATATTAATATGTAGATATCTCTACTATTGCCTCTAAGTTTATTATTTTTCTTAATATTTTTTTATCACAACATATTTTTCAGTAACATGGATAAAATATTTGAGATAAGAGCAATAATTTTATTTACAAAGTTATTTTCCTTTTAATAATAAAATTTGTGTCTAAGAAATAAAATAATCATATGCTAAGTTGAATTTTTTATTTGATTTAAACATAATTCTGCTTCTTTCTTTACATCATCATTTTTAGTTATTACACCTAATTTCCAACCATAGCCACAATTTTTTCTTGCTTCATTCAATAAATTTTTTTTAATGTAAGCTCGCCCTAAATTAATATACATGGCTCCTAACTCCATATTCTCTACTTTTTTCCCTAATTGGATAGCTTCTTGAAAATAGCTAATACTTTCATCAGTTCTTCCCAGCAGATCAGAAACAGTACCTATATCATTTAATTGCACTACAATGTGTTCTTGTTCCACATTAGGTACCTGTTTCATTCGCTCAAGTGCACTAATCATCAGTTTAAAGCCCTGTTCATATTGATTGCATTCTATAAATAACCTACCATACCAGTCTTCAGCTATACTCAGTAGTTTCAATATATCTATATCAGGGTCATTACTTAATGCCTTCTTTAATTTTTCTATACACCAATCATACCCTATTTGGGCAGTCTGATAATCTTTTTTTAAGTGGCTTATTCTAGCCAGTTTTACACTAATATGTACAACCCGAGTGTCATCTTCTGTGGCCCCATCGGCCATTATTCTTTGTGTTACAGCAATAAATAGTTGTTTTGCTGCATCGAGTTGATTTCTTTCAAGAGCTAAATTAGCCATAACATCATAAATATATGTAATGCCGAGTTGATGTTGGAATTGTTGAGCTTGTCTTAGAGCTACGTGAAGAAGCTGCTCTGCTTTTTCGTAATCTCCTCTTTCAATAAATAGCACACAATGTTTGATAGTAAGAATAAGCTCATCTTCCATGCTAAGTTTTTTTTGGAAACCAAGCCATGTAAAAAGAGAAAAACTAAGTGCAACTGGAGTTGTGTATTTAAAACGAGGGATAGGACGCGAGCGAAACACAGGAACCACTTTATTAATCTTTTTGATGGGAGATAAACTAGTCCATAGTAACCTAAACCTGTACATTTTTAAAATACACTGAATTATATAACTTGATTGTCGGAATGTTTCCAGTTAATGTTAATTAGATACACATTTTATTTTTGCCGTATGTTTTGTCACTATTGAGAGCTTAGGTAGTATAGTAAAAAATGGTTTAGTATTTTAAATTAAAATATTTACAGATATAAAAACTACAGATATTCTTAGTAATATATCGTAATAAACACAACCCTAGACTAGGAATGAACCACAGATTAGAAAAATTATAAATTAGTCAAGCTATCAGTCATCCGCTGTCAGCAAGTCATGCATAACTTCCAAAGAGTCTTTCCAAGGATAAGAAAACGCACTTCTAATAAGCTACGTAAAATGACGACTAACAGCGATATCTATCTTATCAATCTATACAAAATTCTCCTTTTTTTTTGTTATATTGGCCAGCCTGATATTCAAAATGGAAACGAATAAAGTTATAATGATACCACAGTTAGCACAGTTAGTTTTTCGATATTAATATTTCTTTGAAACGCGAGTCATCTGATAAAAAAAATATATAAATTTTATGTCAAATTGCACGTTTCGATGAACATTTATAAGCAAATAAAAAACAAAGAATAACATTCTCAAATATATTTATTATATTATTTTTTTAGGATTGTTCCTCGAAATCTCATTTTCGCAATATTGTTGATAGTGAAAACAAGTTTTTAACGCTTCCATTAAAGTCTGGCTATTTTCTAGACTTCATATTAATATTTATTTAAAAAAAAAAATATATATATATATATATATATATATATATCTTACTGTACAGCACAGGATAGTACAATGCGAAAAAAATTAAAATTAATAAAAAAAAATCATTCCGTTTTACGATAGGTACTTACAGAATAACTTACGAACTATCTATACCACAGATCTGTAATACCCAAAACATGAATGACATTTGCTGTCAACTTTCAATTCCCTTGATTCCTTGTTCGATTCAATGAGTTTATTTGCGTGTATGTAGTGTCGTCATTTTAAATTGAATTAGAAAGCAAGCAAATCTCTGAAAGCGCGCTTTATATTTTTTATGATGTTAAAGTTGACCTAACATAACAAAGTGCTATTTGAATACCCGATCATTAGACTAGTTATGCATCACCATCGCAGCATTCGAAGGTTCGGAAGGAATTCGCTTTCGTAATATTGTTACTGGATAATTAGGCAAGAAGAAAATGTATGGCATCAATGGAACGGATTATCCACCTGTTACGGAGGACACCTTTTGTAAATACATTTTGTACTATGAAATAAATAATTCGAGGTACTTACAGTTTGTATTGCGATGTTATGGCCTTGTTTTTTGTTGTCTTTTTTCTTAACTTTCTGTTCATTTCAGGGTCCGTATATGGGATTTGATAATTTTGATACCAAATGCTTTATTTGTGCTATTCTTAGTGGTGAGATTTAACAAAGCTCAGTTGAAGTTACGTGCTACTAGTAGTCCTATATTTTTAACTTTTTATGCATTGGTTTGGGGAAATGTGATCATAAGCTTGGTGCGATGTGCGGTATCAATGACAGTTAATGCAGCTATGCCAGTGGGGGGGCTGGTGGATAAAGTATTGTGGGTCACTGTCAGATTCTTTCTGTTAGCTACAGAGATGAGCGTTGTTATATTTGGTTTGGCTTTTGGTGAGTATTCTCTTTGTGATAATTAAATTTAACTGTGAAATTAACTAAGATTTACTATGAAGGAGAGGATCAATACTCTGAAAACCTGGCTCAATGTCTTTGGTTTCATCTTTACCTATTATCACTTACAGGGGAAAAGGGATTGTTAATAATGGGGTCTAATAGTTTGATTGCTAGCAATGTACCCTGTAAGTTAGATCTGCATGCTGTTGTTCCTGGAAATCACCATGATTAATTCTCGTGGGATTTGTAATAATTAATTTGCTTTTATCAGATTTTTTAAATAAGGGGATTAATGTCTTCTGTTTGGGTACCTCTGTCTCACTCAAGTTTCTAGTCTCAATGTATTCTTTGATGTTCTTGGTGCTGTTCATGTCTCTATAGACATCTATGTGACTGTTACCACTTCCCATCAGGTGGACTGATAACTAGTTGCTATCAAACAAACTAATAGCCCACCTGATGGAAAATGGTAAGTCACCTACAGGCCCACACACATTACAATATTTTTTAGGTCACTTAGACAGCCGCAGCAGTATCAGATATGTGCTCCTAGCTACATCACTCTTATCCCTGGCTTTCACTATAACACAAGGCACCCTGGAAATAGTAATGCCAGATGATATGTTCCACATTGATACGAGGGATTATAATCTGTTTGGACATGGTGGAATGCTGTTTTGGTTTACATCATCTTTGGTGTTTGCTCTCATCTATTTCGTCATATTATTATTGCCTTGGATTCCATTGAGAGACTATTTGGCTTTACCTAGTAAGTTTATATCTATATTATAATAAAATTATTGCGATTAGTATTAAATAAACATGTCATTTTTTAAAAAGTACTAAACACTAGCACAGTTCGTATATATTCATGTTTATTATTTTTGCCCATAAGTATCTTTGAGGAAGTATTCTGAGCTATTTATTTGATTTTCTAATTTTATGTATATGTACATGAATAATGTGATTTAGAAACTACCTACATTATGTATATATTATGTCTCATTTGTTCAGAATTAAATCTTATCAAGTCTAATGTTTTATGTTTTTATATATATATATATATATATATATATATATATATATATATATATAAACTAACTGTAACTAATTATAGTAAAGCTACATTGGAGCAGATATAAATGTAAACAGAATAATAACTTGTGATAAGTGTGTCCATGTTTCCTTTTGTTGTTCAAACCATAAATTATGTAATTTATAGTTTCAGATTATGTCTGCTAATGAATAATTGTCGAATTACCAAATTGATTTTTCCATAAGTGAAAGTTACATTGGTACTATTTTATTTTGTTATATTTTTCATTATAATAATAATAAATAGATTTATTTTCTCTTCACAATTTATCACAGTGAGATACAATGAGACATGCTTATATTAAAGTATGATCATTATAATATGATCAATTGGTTCTACTGTTTTATTTTATTTTTATGAATTTTATCATAAGTATTATCTAACTGTGGTAATATTTCAATTCACTATATAAATTATCTTGATTGAGCAACCTTTCCTATTTGGTTAGGTTCATACTCTTCCATGATTGGGTATTTTAACGCTAAATATCAGTAAAACTAATAGAACTAATTGATTTGCCAATTAATTAAGTGAAGTACTTCTTTACACGGAACAGCCAAAAAACTATCATTACTTAACAATATTGCTTTTTTATTTGTGATTATGACAATACAAAAACTCGCCATTGCATCATGAATAGCGGAACACAACTCGTGTTTTATTTTTTATAACTCACAAATTATTTATATTCCAGCCAAACTCTCTTTCTACTTGTACGTGCTACTGCTTGCACTTCTCAACATAACTCAAGCAGTGGGCGCAGGGCTTCTGGCGTGGGGCTCTATGCAGTCAGGTCTTTGTGTAGTAGATGTAACCACTTGGCTGTATTTCTCTTTATATACGCCACTTGTCTACCACACATTCCTCAGCGAGTTCTTCAGGTATTTTTATTATTAGCTTTTGCCTGCGGCTTCGTTTGTATATCCGGGACATATTTACTGATCGTGATAATAATAATAAGTAACCTTCCATTTCATATAGAATACGTATACAAAATTTCATAACGATTGAATAAACCGTTAATGATTAATAAGGTAACAAACAAACGAATTCCCTTTCACTTTTATAATATTAGAATATTTAGTCCATAAAATATCTAATTATTTAACTAGTATTATTTACCTACGATTTTGTCCGAGTGACAGAGATATACATATATCGTCATAGTCGTAGAATACTGACGGATCTATATATGTAATATTTGTCAGATCCGTCAGTATTCTACGACTATGACGATATTGTACTACCAGAATAAAAAGTAGCCTATTTCCTTCTCTTTCACAATTACTGTGTATAATATGAATGATGATAATATCTCATGTCTATAGTTCAACTAGAGCTGTTAAGACAGTAAGATGTAATAGACGAATAAACTTATGCATTTATACGTAAGGATAAGCAAATTAGAATTTAAATATTACAAGCATGTGATCATCATATCAGTCATTAACTGTCCACTGCTGAATATAGGGAGTTTTGCTAGTAATTGTTACGTTTGGTAGACGGATTGGCAACCATAATTAGGCTTTGGTGATGTTTAAAGTTAGACGCTGCTGCTCATCTTTCGACCGTTTAATAATTTACGAGGATGTACCACAGAATAATGTTCTATTTTAAGCTTTATTTTTTATTTTTATGTAACCTTTATATGAAATACTGGGTCAGTTTAATTATTGCATAAAATGGTTAAGTGTATTTCACTGATTCGTGTTTCTGCCTCGATGCAGCTGCACTTACATAGTTGTTTTAGTTTAAAGGGTGGGATATGATAGGTAAATCACAAGACATGTATAATACTGTAGGTATCATAATGTGTTTTGTTATGTTCATGTCTGTAGGAGACGGTTATCACTTTTCATCAAATGGGCTATTAGCATGTGTGCTAAGTTGTATAAAAAGATATCTGGTTCAAACTAAGCAGGATTTTGCATTTTTGCAGTGTTTCGCAGCCAAGTATAATGTTCTCGTACAAGGCTCAAATGGACGAACCCATGGACGACGATCAAGTGTCACTGCCGCATCAGCAAAGTTTCAGTTCACTCAAGACGGATTCTGATTACATTTACCAGGTAAACAATTTTGTGGAACACTAATATTTCATTAAATCAGCAATTTTTTATATTCATCCTTCAAATAGATTTATTGTAGTGAGTGGTCTGTTTAATCAAAATATCGATATTGACCGACAATAATGTACATTTAACATATAGGTTACAAAGTTATTTTTTTTTGTCCTCACATTAAACTAAAAGCATGTACTAGTTGCGATTATTTTTGTTATTGACAGTTTGATTAAATACATATTTAATAAATTGTTAATAAAAAAAATATACTTACAATAAATTTTATATAAATTGTATGTAATATATACGCTAGTAAAGAAATCTATTCTTATACTTAAAAGATGTATATTTTTATGAATATATTTTATTTGTGTGTAATATTTCTCAGCAGAGTAATAGCGTGTATGACAGTACGCTTTTTGAAGCGGAAGGTACAACACCAATGAACCCAGTCTACAGCGCATCACTCCAAAGTCCCGACTCGATAGCATCTGGTCAATCTATAGAAATTGGAGTACCAGGCTTTCATAGCCAAAACATGCCATCGACATAACAATGGTAATGATAGTAAATATAAACATCCAAAGAAAAACAGTATAGAACTACCTACATATTTATAATAGAGTATACTTAAAAAAGCATTAGGGCTACATAAAATATAGGTATTGGTTATGTCTATTAGAATCTCAATATAACATGTTTTAAGTTATTCTACCTATTCACACCAAGTGTTGTGCTGCTTACTTTGTGATAGTTGAAGCCAGTGATCAAATCATCTCTTAAGACTGTTTTCATCCTATTTCTCTCTTAAATATAGTGTCTATTTGTAATGGATCCATCCACTAATCTGACATTAGATTATATTAAAAGCTACATTATGTAAATAGTTGCGAAATCGTAAGGTTAATTATTTCTATATTCACATTTTATTTTAATGTAGAATAATAAACTAACAAAATAATAATTATAATAATAAAAAGTGCACTAAGCAATGAACAATTTATAGTTAGTGTTATGTAATGTGGTTTCTCCCTTAAGATTCTGAGCCTAGCTGGTTTTTAACTAGTTTTTTTTTTTTAATTTTTGAAAGCACTAATCCAATAGTCATGTAAAAAAGTAAGACATTATTAAACTGGATTTGTAGATCAGAATAGTGTATAAAATACTTAAATAAATTTACCAAAAAAAAAAAAATTGATTTTGATAATGTAAAAAAAAAAAAAATATTAACTAGATGGATAATAATGTACTTATTTGTGCTAATTAATTAGCAAACATATTTAATGATAAGTATCAGAATTATTTATTACATCCATAATGTACATACTACAAGTGATAATTTATAATAATTAATTGTACTGTTTATGAAATAACCAGAGATTTCCTTGCAGACACTATATAATGGGCAACTGCAATAGATGTTCTTATGTAAAAATTTTTAGCATTATCAAAATCAATATTTTGGTAAATAGTAATTGAAGTGAAAGATATTTTAATATTGTCCATGTTATTGAAAGGGATGAATAGAGAATAATAATATCTTAATATAATGTTTGTATAGTTATTTTACAACTTTCTATTAATATGTCTTTATTTTAATTGTAATCACCACCGACAGAAAGTTTAATATCAATTGTTAAAAATGTTTTACCAGCTGTATTTTATAAATTCCGTATTTTGTAGCACTTCAAGACAAATCATTACAAATATAGGCGAATAATGAAATCGTTGGCTCTAAACTTGTGCAAAACGAGGTATTAACAGATTATATTATTGATTACAATTATTGGTGCATTCCTTTTTTATTATTAAATCAGAATAATGCACATTAAAACTCTATTTGTACATACAGTGGTTAAATTTTAGCTCAGATAAACACATGAAAAATCGTAACAGATTATATCCTAGCTTGTAAAAATTATAAGGATTACATATTTCATCATTAAAAAAACATTTGTAACGTCAACAAATAGTACTTACATGCATACATATTGTATTAGGGTTTCTATTTCATATGTTACAAGTTTTACAGAAATGTTGCCAAAATTCTTAGACATAAATATTTGAATATTATCAACGAATATATTTTTCATATCGTTTTGCTACCTCACTGAGTTCTTAATAAACATATCTGAATTTCTTGTATTTAACTTTATAGTTAAATTCAATCATTAAGACACATTTGTGTTTATTCTTTTCGTACATTTTAGAAATGGAATTACTTTAACAGTATTTATATAATCTTTTTACAAGTATTACGTACCTATATGCAGGTATACCTATATTATTGAAAACTGGATTTTGCGTAGTTTGCTAATTAAACGACGTGCTATAGATATTTTATTATAAGCGTAAATGTAATATTTGCGGCGACCGTATGTAATAAAACTAAAAGTAAATAACCAACCACTGTGGAGCTTACGCCCCTATAGCCGTATCTGTAAAGAATTGGTTTGGCTATTTGGTTTTTGTTTTGTTAGATTTTGTTGCTGTCTTTAAAGTCTGTTAAGACAGTGTTATTTTTTTAATACAATACTAAAACATTATTGTATATATTCGTATACTTAGTTAAATATGTAATTATTGTACTGTGATGGTTTACCCACTTATTACTTTGTTGTTGTTTTTATATTTTCTATATTAATTTTTATTTTGCAAAGTAGTTTGCAAGACTAGTCTGAAGAAGCTTACAACAGTGGAGCGAAGCCAGATTTAAGTATAAATATTGTACTGTTTTTTATTTGCCATTTGTAAGTTCCGTGTAAAGATTTTGTGATTATTTTCTAGACTGGCAATTACTTTTATGTTAAAAACATAATTTGCAGGCATTGCTGTACCTATGTCAATTGAATTCTTGCTGGCTAACCCTAATTAATGATTATGACTATTGTCAATTTTTCCTTTGTAAATTGTGATAATTCACATATGTCCATGTGAAAGCATAGTGATATTTTGGTTGAAGGCATATATTTTTGTTGTTTTGTCTCTTAGGCAACATAAAATGGAATACTTCTACTATTTGTTTTATTACTACCTTTTTAGAATACCTATACATAAGTGTATTTACATAGACATTTTTTCCTTTCGGGTTCTCGAGGTTGACTGGAAGAAATCCTTTTAAGGAATAAATGCGCGTGTACATTTTTACTATAACCTAAAATCTATATTTTAATCGAATGCACAAAAGCATATAAATAAATAAAGTATAACGAAATTGAAAGAGAGAGAGAAATTGAATTGTTAATTTTTGTCCATGATGGACTAACTGACCCGCGCGTACCATCACTTACTGGTGCCTCGTCAGTGTATACTGTTAGCGCAAGAGAAGTTACCATTCCATTATCACCAAATAAAAAACTTTTTTGAGGACAGTAAGCATAGATAATATAATATCTATTTGTGATAATAATATTGGCTAAGAGCAACGAGCGTTTTTTTTTAATGGGCGATGGAATGTCTACCTCGCCTGCGTTATGGGTTTATAATGGCGGGGCACCAGCGAGCGATGAGAGGCGAGACAAAAACAAGTCTGTTAGCCTATCGTGATGAATATACCTGGATATGAGTACGACAGTTTCCAGAGATTACGCGAAGGTTGACCTGGTTGGATATATTGCTAGCATCGGTGTCTTTAGTCTCCACTATTAACAATACCTTTCCCCAACGGCCACAAGTATTTGTACCTATTTAATAGATAAATTTTCAGATAGTGCATCTATTACACATCCATGGATATTTAAACTAACTTAACCAATTAGTTCAGCTTACCTAGGCTAAACTTGGGTTTTGCTATAGCAAGGGGGCGGATTATCCCTAAGGCAAACTAGGCACGTGTCTAAGGGCACGAGATTTTAAACAAAGAAAATAGACAAAATTGTGTCCGCATTAACCTATACATATCTGCTTATACAATCTAAAAGATATTAACCTGAACATTGACATAGCTTTAAGAATGTACATATCGACGGCAATGAGTAATTGCAATGGTGAGCGCAGTTTTCCTTTCTAAAGAAATTGACAAATTATCTTTACCCAACCAAGACTGATAATAGTTTAAATTCATTAGTAATATTTAAGATTTAATAAAACTTATTGCTAAATTTAAACTATAAAGAGGTTATTGTTAATTTCGTAAGACAAACATGTAGACAAAGAAACTACTAATTAAATTGATTAGGATTACAAGGAGTACAAATTTTTAAATAATTCTTAACTTCAGTCGCCAATGTTTAATACTACTAGTACTAATTAAAATATATATGGCACGATAGAGAGACGGCCATGAGGTGATTGCATAGGGCGATCTTGACATTTAATTCTCTGGCTAGTCCTGGTTCAGAAGCAGGTATAATTTATGACTTGTATCATAAATACATTTAAATTTGCCCTGGATCACCATTTCAGAAAGAACCTTGAAATACAAAATCAACCCAAATCAGCAATTTTTAAAATATTCCCCTATATTACAATATCACAATATGGCGGAATGATTATAGAAAAAGGTGTATATTATAATTATGTATATACGAGTGAAAAATGAGATGTTGCTTAACCATAATCCATTAACATGATACTTACCTATTAACATGAATTGATGGTACAGATGGGCAAAGCACCGGGTTTAAACCCGGTGCTTTGGTAAAAACCCAATAAACACCCATAAACTCCCATAATCACCCAAAAAAATAGGTTTTTACGTATTTTTTTGAAAATATGTAAGTAATACCAATAAATTATTTTTATAAATTGTATTGATCAATTCTACAATATTAAATAAAACGTTAACTAATAATATTTCAGGAAATTTTAAAAATCTATATATAATAAAATGAAAGTAATTAATTTTCAGTGTTTTCATGTTGCAGTTGATCAACATGTTGGCCTTTTGCTTCCCGTAGATACTTTAAAATTTCTTCATAACACCTCGTTCGCACACATGGCCGTATATATTTAAATTCTTGAGCCACTAACAGTCCGAAATACTCATTTCTTTTATCCTCTTCTCCATAAATTAAGCATTTAGAACAGTTTGTTTCTTCTTTCAGTAAATTTTCTTTTACTTTATCCTCGTTTTTTTCTTTGTTGCGACGACGCTGGGTAAATCATCTGGACACTGGGTCTCACTATCGCCAAATATATTTGGAGATCGGCTTCGGCTACGGCTTGGCAGACATTTTTTTCTTTCTACAATTTTAAATTAAATTTATTAGAATAAATGCTTCGAACACACGCGATCTAAGTACCTTTTGTGTTTATTATACCTTACCTACCTAGGTATAAAAAGAGTACTTACGTAGATTTTCTTTTATTAACTGTTTTATACGAAGATCTTGATCTCTCAAATTAGCATCCATTTTACTTCCAGTGATTATCAACTAAATTAATAATCCACAAAGTATTAAATAACGTTTTTATGAAATATTTAGCACAAAAACAATACCCTTTAAATATCGATCGTCAGTAACTGTGGCTGACTTACCTATATTCTAGCAAGCAGGACTGCCAGATGTGAAGGGGAAATCCCCAATAAATTGTTGCATGTGACTGATGATGTGAGCATGTTCGTTTCATAATAAAAATGTTGCCAGGTAACCAAAAAGTCGTATGTTTTTGTGCGAATTACGATCATAATCTTTACGATCGTACATTAAAAAATAGACAAATAATAGTATGAGTACGATTTAAATCGTATATCTGTCAACCCTGCTAGCAAGACAGCGACAAAATCACGTTGCATAACAATGTAGCCCAAGCTTATATCTTATGAAATATACGGAAGAGATACGGACTTAGAAAAAACAGAAATGTTGTTCTTTGTGGAAGTCATTGATGAAATTCTATGTATTTTAGCCCGCAAACTTTCTTCAAACAAAAACAGCGCCATCTAGTATCGAGTTCTGTAATTATCTCTTTGTTTATGGATTTGAAGTAAGACCGCCACGCATGCAATACATTATGACTGGGGATTCCCCTATTCGTCGACGCTGAATATGAGGCGACGACAATCACTGTCAAACGTGTTCACTATTACTCTGACTCTGGTAACGTGACTTCCTGGTAACGTGTTAGGTAGGAAAAGCAGTAAAAAAGTGCATATTAAGGGAGCAGATTTGAAATAATATTTATACTTAACAAGAAATAATTAAAGGTAAGTGGATTTTTGAATGATACAATTATATCATGATCACTTAACAATTTTAACTTAAAATTAGATGTATTATTACAAGCTTTTATTTAGCTTGCGTTATGTAAATAAAAGTATGTAGGTATGTTCGTATGTTGATGCAATTATCCTCAATCCTCAACCGACTGGGATAAAATTTTCCATACACGTTTATTTTGGATGATAGTGCATAGTTAGCTGAGAGTCGTCATTGGATAATAATGGTGGATAGCCTAAGATGTGTACTAGATATTTATTTTTAACATAATATGCGTAAGTACCTAATCGAATTAAAGAAGTTGCTGAGAAAAATACAGAACAATACGATAATAAACTAGCGTCTGCGTTTAATCCTCCGAGGAGATGTAATTTTACAAAGGTTTTTTGTATTTATTTTATTTTTTTTTTTTATTAAATTTATTGTAAATAACAAGAAATAATCATTGTAAAAAAATAGGCACTCTATTGTTGAATTTTCGTCAGACCAACTAATCATCGTTCATTTTTTTAGGTTCAATGGGGAGACCTAAAGATTTACGCATATGGGAGCACTACCGTACTTTACCAAACAAGTCTGTTTCTTGCAAGCTTTGTAATAAGGTCTACAAATTCAGTAATGCTGCCAAAATGCTTCAACATCTTATCACTTGTCCAAAATCTCCAGAAACATTAAAAGACTCTATGAAACTTATAAAAGATAGCTCGTCCAAAACCAAAATGTCTGGACTGTCAGAGATAGAGACAAATGATTCTTTTATAAGCCCCTCGTCGTCTGCTAACACTACAATAAATGCTGAGTTTCAAGACACCGATGATCATATAAAAACAGAATTAGCGAGAGCTATATTTGTAACAGGGACGCCATTATCGATGGTGCAACATCCTTTATGGATACAATTTTTCGAAAAATTGCAACCAAAATTTAAAATACCTTCACGTAAAGCTTTAGCGACAAAATACTTAGATAAAATATATAGAGAAATGCGTTTTGAGTTAAATGAGGAACTAAATGCTTGTAGTTACTTACACCTTCAGTGCGATGGCTGGTCTAATTTAAGAAATGAAGGAATAATAAACTTTCTTATATCAAAACCTCAACCTGCATCCGTTAAAAGTTTGAATACAGAAAGTAATCCTCACACTAGTGAATACCTTAGCCAAGAAGTTGAAAAAGTAATGAAAGTGTATGGAGCAAATAAGTTTCTTGTACTTATTGGCGATAACGCTAGAAATATACAAAAGGCATTCGAATTAACAAAACTCAAATATCCACATGTTGTTCCTCTCGGTTGCTGTGCTCGGTTCCTTAACTTGTTGTGCCAAGATATTGTAAAGATACAAGAAGTAACTGTGTTTATTATGCAAGCCATAAATATAATAAAAACTGTTAAAAGGAGTCAACGATTAAGTTCCTTGTTGATAAAATCAAGGCAGGGTGAAGATTCTACACAAACACTAAAATTGCCTTGTGCTACAAGATGGGGAAGTCATGTTACTTCGTTAAAAAGTTTGAAAGCAAATAAGATAGCTTTGCAAATATTAACAGTTAGAGAAGATGTGGTAATTTCAAGAGATATTAAAGATTTAATTCTAAGTGATGATTTCTGGACGAAGACAGGGGAATGTATAAGTATTTTGGAACCAGTCACTGAAAGCATATTTTACTTAGAGAGCGACCAGAATCGTTTGCATCGCACATACATTACGAGTACATTTAGAGATGTACAAGCTAAGATACGTTTTGCATTAAATGAGATTTCGACATTGAGCGAAGAAAGCAAACAGCAGATTCTAACATCAGTATCTTCAAGATGCAATATGGCAATGAGGCCAATACATTTTGCAGCATATATTCTAGACCCCAGGACTCTAGGAGTCGAACTTACTCAAGAGGAAGAACTTAAGGGTATGGAGTTTATCTACAATTTAAGCCAACACTTAAGTTTGTCAAATGTAATGGCAGATTTGGCGTGTTATAAAGCTAAAGAAAACTTTTGGGCCAGAGGATTTGTATGGAGCTCATTAGATAGCATTGAGCCCCTAATATGGTGGAAAGGTATTTGTGGTTCCACTGAGTTAAGCAAAGTAGCGATTCGTATTCTATCAGCTCCCTGTACTTCGGCAGCCACTGAGCGTTCCTTTAGTATCCAAGGCTACATACATAATAACAAAAGAAATCGACTTACAACTGAAAGAACTGAAAAAATTTCATTCATTTGTTATAACTGGAATCTTAAACATAAAGCTGAATGCGAGGACATTCAGTTTAATGAAGAAAATACCTTAGAAGCTTTCATTGAGCAAGTAAATGAACATAACAGTTTAGACGAAATAGAGCCTATCGAACCTATACAATTCATCGCTTGTAATAACTCTGAATCTGACAGTGATTGACTGTAGTTTTACATTTTACTTTCATCTCTTTCTTAATAAACTCAAAATCAAATTAAAAGTTTTTTATTCTGTAGGCTGCATAATAATATTGTCTATGTCCAGTATAGTGGACGTCTTGCGGCTGAGATGACGATGATGAAGTACAAAATCATAAACACCCAAAAATTTGGGTGTTTATGGGGTTTAAACCCAATAAACCCAAAACACCCGGTTTTTACCCACCAGACTTTAAACCCACCCAGGTGGATTGCCCATCTCTAATTGATGGTCTTTTTTGTTAATATAACCAATGTGTATCCACTTATCTAAAACGATAAGATCAATTTCTTCAATTTTGACTACAATACGGATGTAATAGTGAGCATAGATAATGATAAATAAAAAAGTTTTATCCTCAACAAAATTTATTTATTGCTTTTCAGTTTAATATCATTTTTCTAACTCTTCTTGAATAAAAGGATGTTTTAGGCACTCCAAAATAGACATTCTCTGGTAAGCATCATATACTAAAATTCTATCTAAGAACTCTTTCAGTTGGCCTAATTTCTTCTCATCTTTAGTAGTTAAGTTATTAGCTGATTTTTTAAGTACACTGTGTAAATCTTTAGTGGCACAAACATTACTTATTTCAACTACTTTTTCTCTACCAGACAATTCATCTTTTTTATGAAGAAGGAAATTATTATTATAGTTGAAATGTTGATCTTTAAATTTACCTTTTCTTAGTAATTTAGCTGGAAATTTACCTTTGAAGTCCATAAAACATTTTAACATTTTATTATTAGAGCTTCCAGTAAACAGTATTTTTCCAGTTGCCATTTCGAAAATTGTACATGCGGCTGACCAAATATCTACACCGTGTTTATACGGTATTCCTAATATTATTTCCGGCGCTCTATAAAATCTGGACACCAAATATGGCGTGGCGTCATTATCTTCAGCTTTTGACGCTGAGCCAAAATCACATAATTTTAAAATATTTTTTTTCTCGTTTACAAGAATGTTATCTGGTTTTACATCCGCATGTATAATACCAAGTTTTTTTAAAAGTCGCAAAGCTAACATTAGTTGTCTACTGTAGCTCATCAACGCTTTCATATTGAGACCATGTTTGCCATATTTTTTTATAACACCTCGCATGTCCATGTGTAAAGATTCCAACACTAAACAAAGATGTCCTTTGTGCATAAATTGCCTAATAAACTTCACACAGTGGTATTTATTTTCTATATCTCCATCATTGATTTCTTTCAAAAAAGATAATTCTTTAAGACCAGTTTTATACATGAGATCGTTATTTCTTATTATTTTTATAGCAACATCTTTGTTGCCATTTTTAATATCATGAGCACGAACAACGCTTGCAAATACGCCTTGACCTAATATACATTTTATTGTATATCTACTATCAATAATGTCTCCAATTCGCGTGTTATAATATCCTTCTGGATCATCCCAGTTGTCAATTAATTGTGTATTATTTTCATTATCTTGTGTCACAAATTCAGAGTCATTATTGAAGATAAAATCATCTTTTTCAGAGAACATATCTCTTGTTTCTTTAGTAACAGTTGTTATTTGAGGTTTTTGTATTTGATTATCAGTTTCATTACTGCTACTGGCACTTTCGATAATATTTTCTTCTTTTATACTTTCAGATTTGTGTTCATGTGATGATGTAATAAATTTTTCTAAAAGTTGTTTACGCCGTTTCCTTCTTTGTTCTATAATACTTTCTTCATCTTCTGAATCTATATGGTCAGGTGAAGTGTTTACAATATTTTTGTCATCTTTTTTTTGGTCACTGCTATGTTTTCGTTTGTACTTTAAAACTGTATTATCTTTTGATTTATCATATTTATTATGTTTCTGTAATTTTACTTTGGTGTCCAAATAATTTTTAGAATTTATTTTTTTCAATTCTTTTTTAAGAGACTCCCTTTGTTTTATCAGTTCTTCCATAGTAACACTAGATGTAGGTAATGGTGGAGTTTTAGACTCATAACGGTATTTGGTGTCTTCTTTATAATGTCTTTTTGCTGGTTTAGATTCTTCTCTGATACTTCTGGATGATTTGCTTTTTAATTTTTGGTCTGCCATGTTTTCAATCAATTAGACAAATTTAAATAAAATTTTCCTTGAATATTGTACAGCTATCTGTAAAGATACAATGTGTTATTAAAAGATAATAACAGATTTTAATTAAAAAAAAAAACGTAACTATGTATTACAATAAAATATCATTATTTTTTAACATCTATATTTCAAGCATTTTGACTCCTAGTCATATTCATGAAAGTTTTATAATAGTAGGTACAATAAAAATGTAATTTGTAAATATAAAACTAAACAGAAATTAAACTCTCATAAATTTGACTTTGTTATGTCATTTATAAATTATGGTTACTGTATCATTGATTACATTTCCACCCTTGTGCACTATCATCTATGCTTAGTTCCAACATTATTGTTTTAGGAACTGTGTGATGTCAATTGAAGACTTCTCATCTTATTATTCTTAACTATTGCCTTTGCAGTCATTCAGTCCAAATATAGATGCCATACTTTGTCACTTTATTGAACCATCCATTTTTAATTTTCTGTGATTGGTTTATTTAGTATATCACAAATTATACTAGTTGATGGCTAGAAAAATAAACAATGTTTAAATTTAATAAATGCCATATATGAAATACAAGAATATTAGTAATATAGTTAAATAGGTAGGTACAGTTGTATACAATGAAAATTATTTTATTAGGTACTCATCCATTTCACTATCGGCTATTAATTTATACACAGTCAGAAAACAGTACGCATAGCATGAATGAAGAATACATAACTGTTTATAGGTACAGCACATTTATCAACAAATTGCAGTTTGCAGAAAATTATATAAAAACAAGGGGTATGATAATATAATATAACTTGTAAAAATAATATCCATTTTGTTTCCAAAATTAATGTTGTATAATTAATTAATTAATAAAACAAAAATGAGTTAAAGAAACTATGACTATAAATTAATATTTTTGCTACATACATAATTGGTTTCCTGTTGTCATATTATTATATTACAAAAAAGTAATACAAAATATAATTATTTCAAAGTTCATGCCATCTATACTTATAGGTATTTCTATTAATGGACTGAACTAATGAATTTTCACTAACAGTACAATAGGTAAATTTATTCTTATTAACAAAACAGAAGACTCACACAAAATTCAATATGGTATAGATTCTATTTTATAACAATTCATGATATGGGTACTGGAGACTGGAGAGTAGAATAATTTACTAATTATTATTGTCTATTACATGTGAATAATAAAGTAGATTGTGTCAGTTAATTATGTCTTAATAATGTAATTCAGTATTAAAGTAATTAAGATCATTTTATAACAAAGTTTTCAAAAATGTATGACAGTACAAAGTTCAATAGATGTACATTTCATTTACATTTAAACTTTTGTGTTGTTTACTCATATTTTAAATATACTATTGGGACTTAATAGAATGAAAAATTTGCAGGTAAATAGTATCTACATACCTATTTCATTACCAACATTTAGGTAATATTTAACTGCAAATTTTTCACCACATTAAGCCTCCATAGTGTATTTAAAATACATGAATTTAATATATAAAAATCTTCTGTCACAATGTTTGTTCACAATACTCTGGGAAACTGCTCAATCAAATTTTATGAAATTTTGTAAATGTTATATTTTTTGTCGATGATAATGCAATAGTAACTCTGTTTATGTTAGGGGTATACACTGGCAGGGCACCAGTGAGAGAAGATAGGTAAGGATTTTTTAATGGATGATAATGGAATGGTAACCCTGTATGCATTATCGATATACACTCATGGGGCACCAGTGAAGGGTGATAGGTGAGGTTGACAGCTGGTCAGTTGGCACATTGTGATGAATTCATCAAAGTAACTAAAAGAGGGAACTGTAAAGAGGTTGATCTGACAGGGTATATTACTAGCAATGGGGCTGTTCTCATTACTAACAATTTTTATCAATTCAATGTGCATTTTTTTAATGGGTGAAGATGGAATAGTAACAACCCTGCATGTGCTATCGATATACACTCATGGGATACCAGCGAAGGGTGATAGGTGAGGATGAAAGCAGGTCAGTTGGCATGTAGTGACCATTTGAACAAGAATAAATCACTATGTTTTCCAGGGGGAACTATGTGGAGGTCGACTTGATAGGGCGTATTGCTAGCAATGGGCCTGTTAAAACTCATTACTAACAATCCCTTTCCTCCTAATGTGCATTATTAAATCTAACTTAAGAGATAGGATAGTTTTTATTCTGATAAGAAAAAAGGATTTGATTCATAACAGTGTTTGCTGGGTCAACTAGTTTGAACAAATAAGTCAATATTTGGTACAGAAATATTTGCAGTAGTCATTTATATAGTAACACTTGGCAAAGTAGGTAGATTGAATATTTTTAGTAAGCAATGATATATAGCACATCAGTAATTTTAGTCATGTATCGATGGATATAATAGGATTTTTTTTGTTTATGGTTTAAAACAAAAAGTTTCTGTAAAAGTTAACAGAAAAACATTCTACGTATCTCGTATGTGATGTAAACCACAGTAGATTTTGACTTGGTGGCACAAAATTTAGAAATATTTAATAATCATGTGTAACAGACAATAATTATTAGCAGTTTAGATGTCGATAAGTTGCAAAATTCATTCAACCAAATTTCAAATTGTAAAGATATTACACAATATAATAATATCTTATATATAAACGACACAATATAAACACGCACTCAAAGTGATCAATAAACACATAATAAAATTATACTTTAGAATTTTAGAAAACATATTTTAATATTATTTCATTTTACAATGACAAGATTTGATTTTTTCGAAATTTTTTTTCATAGATTAGAGAATAATTTCCAAAGAGTATATAGATAAACTATAACCGTAAATTGGGGCGAATAAGCAAGAAATCGAAAGTCATTGAAATGTCTTGATTTTGTTATACAAATTGTCATTTATCCTTCCTATTTTCGATACGATTAAATAAAAAGTAATTTTAAAAAAGGGCGAAAATTAATTATTAATAGCAAGATGTGAGATTTGCTTATTTATACTAAATTCGGGATGATGTGGAACAGAGGCGGGGTGAAAAGGTGAAAAGATTTGTTGAAATATAAACTTAAACTTGTTTCTATGCAAAACATATAAAACACAAAGCAGTCCATATATCCGATAAATTCAAAATTAAGATTTTGAATTTATCGGTTATTAAAATAAGCTTTGGATTGTAATTTCTTGTTTTTAGTGAACAACATTGGCAGTCGGACGACCATAGTAGTCGAATGGTTTGAAAATCATTCGAATAATCCGAATGATTTGCTCAGTCGTATAATTAGTAGTCGTAAAGTCGCGCATTGCTACGCGACGGCTCTATTTGCGCAGTGGAGAGCTGTAGACGTGCCACGTCAGGCCCAGAACGGTATTGCAGGGCGAGAGGCGCAGGGTGGGGGGTGCGGGTGCACTCAGCGTGGGCGAGCAGCACTCAGAGGCCGAACTATTAGAATTTGCATAGTAAATATAAAAACTTATAAAGTTCCATCCAATTTTTAACCATTCTCGCCTCCAATTAACACTACTTTTATCGTACACCACTATAGTAGCCGGTTTTTTGCACCCCTCCACCCCTCCACCCTCTAACCCCTTACACTGTAACCTTATGTTTTTTTTTTTCTTATGTCGGAATATTAGCCGTCGGTAAGTGAGATCTCTACTGCGAGAAGTCATTTACCGCCGTTGCCCGGGATGCACCAGGCCCCAGCCATTGTCAGCCACCGTTCCCGCCGGACGTATCCGCACCAGGACAAGTGACCATACAATGAACTAGGGCGCACTTGGAGGTTTTCCGACCCAGCACCCCACCCCACCCCAGTGTATTGTAAACACGCTGAATATTTGTGCACTCGATCGAACAATATCAGAGATTAATTGTATATTTATAATTCATAGAATAATTTACATTTAATCGCAGAGATACACTCGATTAGCCAAGCGAGAAAGGAAGAGAACGAATCAACGACAATCCTAGTTACATTCTTTACCAGATCATAGACCAAAAGAAACTGAGACCTACCTATTGGGAATGAATTATGAGCGATTGAATTGAATATAAAAATGAGATTTGGACATGTTGAAGCATATAATATTGCTTAAACAGAATCTCTTCGACCCATATTATAAATTGAACCTATAGTCCTTTACTTCTTTTGTTTCCTCCTTTTATGAAATTATTATTTATTCAATTACAATTTATTTAATATAACATTTACCTAATTATTTTTGAATGAAAGGATGTTTCAGGCAATCCAAAATAGACATCCTCTGATGCGCATCGTATACTAAAAGCCTCTCTAAGAAATCTTTCAGTTGGCGCAATTTCCTATCATCTTGTGAACTTAAATAATTTGCCGATTTTTTAAGTGCACTGTATAAATCTTTAGTGGCACGAGTGTTACGTATTTCAATTACTCTTTCCCTACCGGTCAATTCGTCTTTTTTATGAAGAAGAAAATTATTATTGTAGTTGAAATGTTGATTTTTAAATTTACCATTTCTTATCAATTTAGCTGAAAATTCACCTTTGTAGTCCATAAAACATTTCAACATTTCATTATTAGAGTTTCCAGTAAATAATATTTTTCCAGTTGCCATTTCGAAAACAGTACATGCGGCTGACCAGATATCCACGCCATGTTTGTACGGTATTCCTAAAATTATTTCCGGCGCCCTATAAAATCTGGACACCAGATATGGCGTGGCGTCATTATCTTCTACTTTTGATGCTGAACCAAAGTCGGACAATTTTAAAGTATTTTTCTTTTCGTTCACAAGTATGTTGTCTGGTTTTATATCCGCATGTATAATACCAAGTTTCTCTAAAAGTTGCAAAGCTAACATTAGTTGGCTACTGTAGATCATCAACACTTTCATATCGAGACCATATTTGCCGTATTTTTTTATAACACCTCGCATGTCCATGTGTAAAGATTCCAACACTAAACAAAGATGTCCTTTGTGCATAAATTGCCTAATAAACTTCACACAATGATATCTATTATTTATATCTGCGTCGTTGATTTCTTTTAAAAATGACGATTCTTTTAGACCACTTTTATAAGTGAGATCGTTATTTCTTATTATTTTTATAGCAACATCTTCGTTGCCATTTTTATTATCGCGTGCACGTACGACGCTTGCAAATACACCTTGACCTAATATACGTTTTATTGTATATCTACTGTCAATAATGTTTCCAACACGCGTGTTATAATATCCTTCTGAATCGTCCCAGTTGTCGATCAATTGTGGATTGTATTCATTGTCTTGTGTCACGTGTTCAGAAACATTAATTGGGGCGAAATCGTCGTCCTCCGAAAACATATCTCTCTTTATTCGAGGTGACTGTATTCGATTAACAATTTTATCATTGCCACTGGCGCTTTCGACAATATTTTCGTCTTTTTTGGCACTTTCACATTTGTCATCGTGTGACGATGTAACAAATTTTTCCAAAATTTGTCTGCGATGTTTTCTACTTTGTTCTATGATGGTTTCTTCATTTTCTGAATCTATAAGGTCACAAGATGTGTTTACAATATTTTCGTTATCCACTTTTTTATGAGTGTCGTCTTTTTTTGGTCACTGTTATGTTTTCGTTTGTACTTTGAGACTGTATAGTCTCTTGATCTATCATATTTGTCGAAATATTTGTGTGATTTTTCTTTGGTTTCCCAACAATGTTTAGAATTGCACTTTGACATTTGGTAATACGCCATGTCTTTAGCAAATTAGACAAAATATTGCAAGTGTTGTTTGAAAAGTAAAAGTTTGACAGTGGTAAAATACACTGTTAGTAACCACTGCAGAACAAATAAACACTGTTCAGTACAAATTGCGTAAACAATATACGAGTATACTGTAGGAATACGAGAACACTTTAGGTTACACGATAACCGGCGACTGGTGACGGGTAGCTAAGCTAAGCGCACAAAACGCACGACCGTTCACTAAGAGCACTCTCGTACGAATGCCGGACTGCATAGAGACGTGCGAGCTCGACTTACTGACTCGAGTTGAATTCTCTCTAACTCGTGTTTCGGCCGGCGGTGAAAGGACGAATGGATGAGTAATTCGATCCTGTCCACGAAGTTTAGCAATGATAATTATTCTAACAGAGAATCGGAAGGAGATAGAAGAACAAATGTGTAAAAGAAGTAATTTGTAACAGATCGTACGCTTAGTTTCTTACTACAAACTCGAGTTAAATCGAATAGTGTTTTTTTTTTTTTTTTTTTTTTTTTTCTTTTCCGAGATGGCCATCTCTCTGACAGCGAGCGCCGACGACGACGCGATTCGTTAATCCGAATGATTTTGTTATTCGAATAATTAGTCATTACTAATTTTGTAATTCGACTACTAAATTAGTAATATGCTAATTTTCGCATTCGAATGATTTTACTAATTATTAACTAATTACAACAAAGTTCCTTTCCGTAAAGTTTTTATAGTTAATTTTCGTCTTTTTTTTTGTTTAAAATCGTGTATGTAATAATATATAATATTATGTCATAATATGAAGAAATGATAATATTTTATAATAAAATATTATGAAATACCAAAAACGAGCAATGTAATATTTATATTATAATAAAATTCTAATGCTACGTGCGGATTCAGCTATATAAGGCATCGTCATTATCGTACGACAGATACCTACGAAGAAGCCGCGCCGCCTGTAAAGCTGGCTTACATTTGTATCGTTAACGTGTGTTGGTTCTCCGTTCTGCGGCTATTCATGTTTGCTGGATTGGCCACATCCAATATAGCTAATACCAGATACACATAATGATGATGGGTAGGACTTACTTATATTGTGTTAATAACGATTGTCGATTATATCCGTAGTTATATATAGTTGACTAATGATGACACAAATGACTACGCAAGTAATCGACTATTGTTACAATCAAATAAAGATCGTTAGTTGGATTAAGAAATGAATGAATGAAAATGAAGAAAAAAAAAACTATTATTGTTGGTAATATAGACTCTATCTAGGTATCTATCTATTTAGGCAAGTATATTCATTATTTCTTAGCAGAAAAAAAATACTGATTCCACTTCTTATTGTACGTATACTGTTCGCTGGTAATTAATGCTCCACTCAAGGTTTGCTTAAAGAGAACTTTTACTTAATAATAAATAAAAGATGATCTAAAAACGTAGTCTATTATTTTTAGGTTATTTTTTTAAAGTAATAGTAGAAAAATTGTAAACAAATAATTTCATCGGAAAGTCACATTATGTGTTTTCCCCTTTATATAAAAAGAATACTGTGAAATACACACTTTTATTAAACATTTATAAAGTATGTCATACCTGTAGAAATATTTTTAGAAAAATAAAGAATCCCCACTATTTTGCAATTATTTAATTAATTTTTGGTTATTTTCATTTAATAGAGCCTGATTCCTTCTTATTGCCAGAATCCATATGATACATGACTTACGGGACATTCTGTATACTCAAAGGGAAAAAATCCGCATTTCATATAAGCCACATAAAATGACTTGGTTAGGAATATATAACTAATCTACACAAAATTCTCCTTTTTCTCACTATGTTGGCTAGATTGATGTTCAGAATAGAAACCATTATATGATATCATAGTTAGATAGTTTATTCATATTAATAATGATGTGATGATAGAAACGTATACATTTTCTGTTAAATTGCATGTTCCGAAGAAAATTTGTTAGCAAAAATAAAACAAAGAATAACATTCTTAAATATCTTTATAAAATATATATCTGTATAAGTTAACACAATATTATCTTTAGATCCTAATTTCATAATATTGTTGATACTAAACACAAGTTTTTAACAGTTCCTGTAATATATGGTCAATTTTCAGAGTAGACTTCATAATAGTGTCAATATTAGTTATATATGTAATTCCCACGTCAAAATAAAAAGAAATATGAAATACAAAGTCAAAATTGTTCTACGAGTGGTTTAGATGGTGACCATTTGCATCGCATTACTAACAACAATACTGTCAGTATTGTTGTTACTTAAATTTCATTATTCAACTAAACTTTGGCATGATATTTTCTGACCAACTCCATACATTAAAAGTTAGTATGGAAGTTACGTATGACTAGACCGAGTATAACGTACAATGTACTCAGGGTAACATAGATTTCTACAAAAATGTCATTTCAAGAACGATGTTCCAACTGTCACAGGATTGCTGTCAAATAAAACAACATAACCTAACTTCTAGTTTATAATTAAATTATATTAATAATTTCATATAATAAATTTTTAACAGAAATAAAATTAATATTATAAAAATGTCATTATTTATAAATTCCATATTACGTAGTGCAGGCCATAATAATTTTCGGATTTTTAATCTCTGTAGGTTATTTCATGTTACTCAAGGTGAGATAATGCGGCGAAGTATTAAAAGTTTATTTATTACTTTTTGGATGTCTTTTTGGATCATTATCATATTTTTTTTATTTCAATTTTAAAAGGTTTTAAAATATTTGCAGTTGATCAACTTTATTCCCCTGCTGCACTTGGGATAGATGGTTATCTACAAACAAGAAGACGGATCAAGGATCAATTTGAAAATTTCTCAGACAAGTTCAGAACTAAAATGAATGGTTTTATTTCTGATCCTAAAAGCATGATTTTCACAGAGGATTTGAAAAATATGGTGCACATGGCCGAACCCTTTGATTTGGAGTTGCTGTTGAATATGATTAAAAAGTTAGAAATGAACTTTTTTTCTCTTTCTTAGAAATTTGAAACATTTGTTATGATTAAACATTTAGGTGTTCATTGTCATTATCTTTGTTTTTACTAAGAAGGAGCAGATTCAAGCTTTGCCTGTTTAATATTTTTTTTATTCCCACTGTTATAATATATAATATGCTTTATATGTGATATCATTAGATTATCTAAGGGTATCTACTGATTCACCATATAGGCCTCGCCATAGAATAGGCCACCCCTTCCTTTACTGTGGGTGTCATAAGAGGTGATTAAGGGAGGGCAAGAAATGGGCAGCAGCATCCCTTTTAAAACATCACCAAAAGTTTAACTGCAGTTGCTAACCTGCCTGCCAAATGTGGCAACTACTGGCAAAACCCTCAAATTATGGGGGCGGACTATGTTCAGCAGTGGACAACTAATGGCTGATTTAGTATAGTATGGTATTCACTGATTGATTATCTACAATATGATTTTCATACCCTCCACATATACTATATATATTTTTGTTATAAGTAGCATGAAATTTTATATTGTTGAATAAAAATAATGTATTCATTACTATTCTGTTTTTAGATTTAACTCTCAATCATCAGAATTTAGGTTCGGGTCATTCATATTTGGACCAGTAGTGATGAGAATGTTTCATTTTTTGGATGCACCAAAAGAGGCATTGAAGGTAAGATGAGATTTATGTATTTGTATATTAATAGAGCCATAAAGCCCTAGGTTCCATTTATAACATTGGTTCAAGAGAATCTGTTCAGGACTGTTTAGTCAAATATCCTCACAGTTGCCTCTCAATATATTTATGAAAATATAAGGAAAAATTTAAAACCTTTTATTGAATTAACCAATCATACATTACTTTTACTAATTTGTCAATTAAAAAAGTTTTGTAATTTTTTCTTAGGAAATTGTGTAAAGTTTTATAATAAATGCCCAAAATCTATCCTGGACCTATGCAAAAGATGTTATAAAAATAATCTTTCTTAAAAGGCACATAGATAACTATATTAATGATAAAAATGCTTGGCCAAAGTAAACTGAAACTGAATTTTTATGGAGTTGCTGCAATTTCAATAATTAGTAATGCTTTTTATTGACATAAATTTATGAATTATTTGTATAAGCAACATTTTAATTTTGTAATAATATACTGATTGTTTACATTCTATTTGGTATCAATACTTTTAATATATTTATATATTCTTTATTGCACTTGTAAATTACATTGTTAATGCATTTATAAATATTGTGAGCCAGGGTGGACTTATCTCTGACAGAGATCTCTTCCAGTCAACCCAATGCAGTTAGAAAACATGTTGTTAGTGGGCGGCTGAAGTGCTACAACTATTAATATTTAGTGTACATAAATAAATATACAGTTAATATAATAAATATACAGTTAATATAATATAATATATAATCACATATTTAAGAGCAAGTCATGTTCACTATAATGTCTGTACTAGTGGTGGTGTGGTAGTTCAAGTCATTGGGCTCCTGTTTATATTTTTTAATATAGTCCATGCTAGTAAAGGATATCTGTTTAATTTGTAAATTTTAAGTTTAACAGCAGATACTACTAGTAAGTAAGTGTTTAATGTTATGTCAGTATTTGATGCTCACAGATGTAATTATTTCCAGTGCTTCGAGGACCCTATTAATAAAGGATTCTTTGATCAGCTAATATCATACCATATTCTGCTTGACCTTCTGTATAACCATGAAATGTACGATGAAATGTACAGAGTATTTGAGGTGGTGAAAGAAAAACAAATTAACATGACTAAATTCCCTAAGTATCCAGTTACACTGATTTTAGCTGCTTGCTACAAACAAGTAAGTGTATTTGTATTAGGTATTTATTTGTAATATTGATAATAAGTTTTATGTTTGTTTATATTTTAGAAAAAATCAAGCAGTAAAATATAAATACAATATCACAATCATCAGAGGGAGACTTTGTTCAAAAGTAGTTTTCTTGAGCATCTCTATCCTATTCGTATTTCTACTGTGAAGCAGTTGTGTTTGCATGGCTGTGTTTCGGTTTGAAGGGTGGGGATATGTCAGTGAATTTACAGGGTACAGAGGAATAACAACCTAGTCCTCAAGAATGGCAGTGCATGGCAGGTATCATGGGCAAAACATGTTATGTCCATGGTACTGCTCATGTCTATAGGTGACGGTTACTACTTTCCACCAGGTAGGGTGTCAGCTTGTTTGCCATTCTAAGTTGCATAAAAAAAACAATAAATATTATCCCATGCTTTTTCAAAATCTGTTTTCGTAATTTTTAATTCCCAACCCAAAAAAAGGAATGTTTTAAGTTTGACATGCCTGTGTGTCTGTCTGTGGCATCATAGCTCCTAAACAAATGGACTGAATATAATGTGGTTTTTTTGTTTGAATTATGTGATCGAGATGGTTCTTAGCTACAATTTATAAAGATCTGTTTTAAGTATGTCAGCTTTTTTAATAGGTTTGTTTGTGTTTCTTTTGAATATTTATATGAAATGTAATAAAATATAATTTATAAACAACAATGTATATCAGCAGCAGTTTGTATCAGGGTTATTTTAGATTTGTAATAAGTTTAAAACTGTTCAATCATTTAGATGTAATCATTATTAAGAAAACCTGATAATTTAAACAAAACAAACCTAAAAATTATACAAATTTATTAATTTATGATACAAATAATATATGTATGGTATTAGTATTTATGCAATATATTTTATATAAAGTAGCATACATACATATTTTCTGTGTGTAATGATCATAGAACATATGTTTGTAATTTATTATTAAATTTGTTTTAGAATACCCCACAGAGTTTGGAATATGCATCAAAATTATGGTCTGAAATGACAAAAATGGGCACCGCTCCATTGAGAAGAGCTTGTACATTTTTTGCAGGTATGTTTTCATTATATTTGAACAGAGATAAGAAATTTCTATATTAGTTCTCAAACTCCGATCATTATTTAGTTCACTCACATGTTGTAACCCATGTTTGACCTCTAAACAAAGTATTTTCAGACAAATTAATAGATCACTGCTTAGATGCCTCGTTCAGAGGTAAAACACGTTTCACTATATGTGCTTAGACTGAATCATCATCATCATTTCAGCCATTATCTGTCCACTGCTGGAAATAAGCCTCCCTCATAGACTGCCATAAAGAACGGTCCTGAGCCACCTGCATCCACTGACCCCCTGCAATGCATTTCAAGTCGTCACTCCATCTAGTGGGGGGTCGTCTTTTACTGTTTTTACCAGCATGCGGTCGTCACTCAAGAACCTTTCTTCCCCAATGGTTGTCGGTTCTTTGAGCTGACCCGAAGGATAAGCAAGCTGAAATGACCAGCCCATTGCCACTTCAGCTTGCTTATCCTTCGGGCTGTGTTGGTTACTTTGGTTCTTTTGCGGATATCCTTGTTTCGGATTCTTTTATGCAAAGAAACTCCAAGCATAGACCTTTCCATAGCTTGTTCAGTAAATATGATAACATTTAACTTTCTTATTCATTGTTTTTCAGGTTTAGCATTAAAACAAGGGGCACCACATATAGCATTGGAGTCAATATCCACACAAAAACAACATTATGTTACCATTAGGAATATCAAGGTAATATTGCAGAAGAGAGTTTATACCACAGTGGGCAGCGGGGTCAATTTGGAGGCACCATTTCTCTAAACCTCTCTCTCAATATTTGAATTCAATAGTTTCATGAAATTACTATTTTATTCACCATCATAAACTAAATTAATAATAATTTTATCCTAAATCTTAGAAATTTATTTCATATTGGTTTTTAGGACAAAGATTTTTTTTGTGATATCCAATTGAAATTAAAATTTCAGACATAAATTTAAAGAAATCAGGCCCCAAAATGTCACTCCATCTAGTGGAGGGTCGTCCTACAGTGTGTTTGCCCGTTTGCTGTTGCCTGTTAATATTCAAACATAATTAAAAAACTACATATTTTCAATTAAAGTTTAAGAAAGTGTTCTTATTACAAATTGAAATAATAGTCAATGGTCTGATTATTGGTTTGCTATAAGAACGCTTTTTAAATTTCAATCTCATTCGAAAAAAAATTATATAACTAAATATAATTTCATTTAGATTAAAATTATCTACAAATACCATAATGCCATAAAATAAGTTTGACATAAACTATATGGTTTATGTGAGATTTGTTCTATAATATTAAATTAATATTATATTTTTAAAAAAAATTATGTATAAAATATAAAATACAATATAGTTTAATGTAATGGAGTATGATATGAAAGATATATATAAAAAGAGTCATAGTCGTTCTTGCGCACAGTTTTTATTTTATAATTTTTTGTCCTATAGGCAATGGCATTAGCAGACATGGGTAGACTTGAAGATGCCCTGCCCGTGCTAAGAACTGTTTTAGATATTGATATCCCAGAAGAGAAAGACAAACATACTTTCTTTGAAGAAACTGTAAGTAATATTTGGTATAATAGTATCGACAGGAGACGGCTATATGGACGTATTTTTTTTAATGGATGATAATGGAATGGTAACCCCGCCTGCGCTAATAGCATATGCTGGCAGAGCAGAGCAAGGATGATAGGTAAGAATAAAAACATACACCTGGAAATTAGCACGATGATTTCTAGGGGGGACCATGTGGAGGTCGGACTTGTAGTCCGTATTACTAACAATCCCTTTCTCCCTACAGACGTATGTCGACCAAATAGGCGACGTGCTGAACAAGGGTCAAATTAATATTATTTGAAATAACCATTACAATAGAAATGAGCTATATGGGCTGAGTCAATTTGCTTTTCCCTTTAGGATAAATAAAATAATAAAAAGGACCCGTAATCGGCGAGCGTGTATGAAAAGATGAATGTGGAGGAAGCGAAAGAGGTCTGTTTGAATTGGGGCATTTGGCATTCCATTGTTTCTGCCTATCCCAATGTGAGACAGGCGTGTTAGTTATATATGTAGGCAGTTATATATACATATCTATGTATAACAAATATTTGCTTTTGGTGAACATATATTCCATTTAAAATTTTATACGTATTTGTATTTTCATATACATATATATTTTATTTATTTCGTAACAGATTACAAAGGTCCGTAACGCTGTTGAAAAATCAAGTAATAAAGACATACGAAAAGAGTTTGACGATATTGTGACTGCGTTAAATGACAGAAGACTTATAGATAATCAGGTAAGATTTCTGTTTTGTAACTACTATCATCTTTTTACCTTATCCCAATTATGGAGTTGGCGTAATATGCTTTTATTCATATAAGGTTCCTGATGTCAACTCTCTTTGGGAATTTTAATTATAATAAATTAAAATTAATAAAAAAAATCGTTAATGATTAATGACATAACAAGTGTTAGAGTACATACATACGTAAAATCGTAGTCAAGTTGATTTATGGTAGCAGTTTAATTTTTCTCGCAATTGAAATTATCCAGTATTTAAAAATTACCTTGTTTCCAAATTCTTCTTAATCTTAAATTAAGGTGGTTGGTCAAGCGCCATCTAGTAATTTTAGTGAAAACAAAATTTGACAAGAAATACTAGATGGCGCTGGAAGCGAGACTTGTTGTGGATTATTTTGAAATTAAAGATAATTTGAAATAAAATTTCTAAATTGGCGAGAGTTTTTTTATTATTTAGAATGTAAAATGTCATATAATACACGATTTTTTCCTGAATGAATTATAATCCACATAATCGTAATGTTTCTTGTTAATGTGTTTTTTTTTATAAAGTTGTACAATACAAGAGAATAAATACAAAAATTATTATAAGTTAATATTCTATCGGTAAAAAAGAAATATAACCATTCCCCAATTTAGAAATTTTGCTTAAAATTACCTTTAATAATAAAATAACCAACAAAATTCACAAATCTCGATACTAGCACCATCTAGTATTTCGTGTCCAATTTTGTTGAGATAGATGCTCTTTATTGTTTTCCCCAAAAGTTTACAATAGTAAAATTATTATAGATACAAACATTAAACAATATTTAGTGATCAATCACCTTAACAAAAGTAATATAAAGTTCCTATGGGTATTAGCTTATTTAATATTTTTTTTTAGGGAGGGCTGGCCCCTTATAATGACATATTATATGCTTTCAGACATTTGCACATAGTTAATAGCGCTTGCATTCAGGGGTGGGTATCAGACGACTTCGTCCTATGTCCAGGGTCGGACTGAGCCGTAAGGGTCCGAAAGGCTGACTACAAGCCTGGGGTCCGAGACTAGATGATGGTAGTTGCACCATTTGGTAGCGGCACCGCAGGCCCCGCAAGTCAGGCCTATAGGGGCCCACGTAGAATGGGGATCGGCTGGCAAATGCCACCGCGACTATATCGCCAGTCCGACGTTGCCTATGTCTATAGTGGCGACTATGTTTAATTTGTTTTTATCATTTTCATGTTTTAGTTCACAAACGTTAGCATTTTTTTGTGTTTCTCTTCAGACGTTAGAACAACTGCTGAATACAGAGATTACTGTCAAGAAACAACGAGACGCGCCGCCTTTTCAGCAGAAACGGCTGCCTTTTCAGCAACGTCACAAGAAACGCAATAATAATCTAGCGTAGTTTATGTGTAATTTATTAGAACATAAACAGTCTTACCACAAAAATAATAATAGGGTTTCTCCAAAATAGGCGTAATAAGGTTTATTAAGGCGGTAACGCGCGTTTGACATTCTTGGTGTTACAGTCGTCTATAGGTTACGGTAACTTTGTTTACCACCAGACATCAGACGGGTCGTACGCTTGTTTACCACCATAGTAGTATAAAAAACAATTAGAACCCTATCTAAATAAATAGAAATATAATATGTGACTAGTCCATTGCCACTTTAGCTTGCTTATCCTTAGTCTGTGTATTAGTTGTTTATTTATAATTTTATCTGCCAAAGTCTATAGATATAATAAAATTTATTACTTTACTCACCTTTAATAAGACAGACTTTCCTTTGTTTAGACATAAACAGATGTTTTTTTTATTAATTGATGATAATGGTATGGTAACCCTACCTGCGCTAACGGTATACACTGGCGAGACACCAGTGAGGAATGTTAGATGACAATTAAGCAGTCAGTAATTCCACCGTGACGAATGTGATAAATCAATTATGATTGAATCCATGGCGATCCACTAGGAGGTCGACCTGGCAGAATATATTATTAGCGATTGGGCTACTGATCTAAGGATCAGTAAGTGTATCTATATAGCAATAATTTGCTAACAAACCCTTTTCTACCCTTTAAACAAACGTTAGACATGCTTTTGTAGTAAGTCGTCTAAATATATATTGAACACTTGTTAGTTGCAGTTTAGATTTTTTGTGGTAAGGCGGCTTATATTTAGTTTAAGTATTTGTGCGTATGATTTTTAAATTTGTGTCATAAAGTTAACTCTCATGTTACAACTCAATTCATACATACATATTGTACATAATGTATTATTTGTCAATTCATTTGTTCTTTATATCAATGGAAAACAAGTATAAATATTTTCCTCTATATTTAGAAAAACCTAAACGTCTTAAACATTTATTCTGTTTTTCTATTTTCTATATTTAGTTCGTTTACGTAGTAAACAATATTGGCATGTTTTTTCTTATATAATAAATAGTGGTACTAAATAAAAAAACAAATAGCTAAATTAATAAGGATTTTAGTGAACAAGTTATGTATCATCATCACTTCAGTTATCAGCTTTAACTGTTTACAGCTGAACATAGGCCTTTCTTAAAAGGGAGATTTTGCCAATAGTTGTCTTGCTTGCCAGACGGATTGGCAACCGCAGTTACGCTTTAGAGACGTTTTAAGAAGGACGCCCATCCCTGGATCATTAAATTCTTTTAGTCGTCTCTTACGCCCACGGGAAAGGAAGGAGTGACCCATTCTATGCCGGGACCACGTTGCACAAATTATGTATAAACATATATTACAATTTTTTTGTGTTTAATTTTTAAATGACTAAATTTGATAAAAAAACATGTTAATATTTTTTACTTATTTTCTCAAAGTATCGAAAACAGATTAATGTTTAACTATTAAGTCGTTGATTTTTTTCTTTCGAGATAAATTTTGAAATATGAAATTGACAGTAATAATCGAAATCAGTTTCGAAGGAGATTTTAGTTTTTATAGACGATTCAGTTTAAGTGTTTTACGTCTTAGAAATTATTGTTAATTTATGAGATACCATAGTTTTTTGTTATTTTTAAATTTCAAAATCATCTGTGTTATGCAAAATTATATGTCACTATATACAAACTGATAAATGCTTTTTATTGAATCCTGTCTTAACAATATTAAATATATTAAGTTATGAAGATTTTTTTTTTTTTTACACAATAACCGGTTTAGATGTGTAGGATAGAGATTGTTAGTAATGGGGTTTAACATCCTCATTGCTAGCAATATCGTTTGTTTTTTTTTAATGAGTGATAATGGTATGATAACCCCGCCTGCGTTATAGATATACACTGGCGAGGCACCAGCGAGATATGACAGATGAGGAAGGAAGTAGGTTAGTTAGCCCATCCTGACAAATTTAATTAGAATTAACCACTATGGTTTCCAGGGGGAACCACGTGGAGGTCGACAGGATATATTGCTAGTAATGGGGTTATTTGACCCCATTACTAACAATCCCTTTTCCCCCTAATATACTCTGTTAGGTCGACTTCCATATGGTTACTCCTGATAATCATTAGATTAACCCTTAAAAGCCGGGGGGAAAGGGGTTGTAAGCAATGGAGTTTGACAGCCCCATTGCTATTAATATACCCTATCAGGTCGACCTTCACGTGGTTCCCCCTGGAAACCATCGTGAACAATTCTTGCTGAATTCGTCACGATGAGTTAACTGGCCTGCTTCATCCTCACCTATCATCTTTCACTGGTGCCTCGCCGATGTATACCGATAGCGCGGTTACCATTCCATTATCACCCATAAAAAAACCCTTAAAAGCCTGATTTTTTAAATCAAATAAATAAAATATATAAGTGTACCCTTTACTGTTCACTAATGGGGAAAAATAGTAAAAAAATCAAAACGATATTTTTATAAATTTATTTTGAAAAAAAAAAAAACATTTGGTAACATGTAAACAGCCAAATATTAAAATAAAATCGATTGTAGGCGCCCAATGCGATTTATAACCCCAGTATCAAATTTGAAACTTCAGGTATTTAAGGGTTAATTCTTATGGAATTCGTCTCAATGGTTGAGCAGACCTGCTTTTATCCTTACCTATCATCTCTTACTGGTGTTTCGCCAGTGAATATCGATAGCGCAGGCGGGGTTACTATTCCATTTTCACTGAATAAAAAATACCGACTTAAAACTTAAACTATAAGAGGTTTGATACAGTAGTACTACACTACTCTAAAATGGTTTAAATCCATTAGATTAGTTTGTTAAATGTTGTAAATTGTATCTGTCCAGATATTTGCATTGGAATCGATTTGCAAAGCTCGTGTAAGCCTTACAAATGTTTGGGGCGTGAGCCCTTTTATTATCGCCAGCGAGATTGATGTATTCAGACAACAGGTGAAAAGTAATCAAGCCTTCCTTTTAAAGTTTAGTTGATTTCTGATCCGTTTTTATATTCAGCATATTTTAGTAACTAATTTCAATAGAATAAATTTAATACGCTTTTAGCTTATACTGATTTTTACCTGGTACGATTTTAACATAGGAGTAAATCGATTGCAAAATAATAATAAAATCGGTAAAGAATAACATCCATACTCATATATAAAGATTACATACCTTATGAAGTACCTATTTGAATAGGGTTTTTTTTATGGGTGAAAATGGTATGGTAACTCCGCCTGCGCTAACGGGATACGCTGGCGGTGTACCAGTGAAGGGTGATAGATGAGAATGAAAACAGGCCAGTTAGCCCATCATGATGAATTTCATCAGGAATTAACCATGATAGTTTCCAGGGAGAACCGCGAGGAGGTCGACCTGGTTGGGTATATTGCTAGCAATAGGATTCTCAGTCTCCATTACTAACAATCCCTTTCTCCCCTATTTGAATAGGGTATTCACTATATATATAATATATGACGCTCTACTCTAAAAATCGTGTAAATACCTTCTTTCTGAGGGACAGAACAATATTTGTATTCTATATTAGCTTTTACCTACGACTTCGTCCTTGTGACCGGGTTATGTTTACGGGATAAAAAGTGGCTAAAATCCTCCATCTCTTATAGTACGTGTATACCAAATTTCATAGCGATTAGGAAATAAAGCTACTTATATTTATAATGTTAGTAGGTAAGAAATTAATAAATTTTTGTTTAATAATTTTTCAGATTTTTATTTTGCGTAATTCCTTGAAATAAACTAATATTCAACGATTACTAGGTACTATTTATATTTACTTTATTTATTTAATACATAATAATAATAATGATGAGTAGATAAAATAAAAGAGCAGTACAAAATCCATTCCATACATGAATCACCAAATACATGTTTTACACATATATTAGACACACTGAAACAAAAACTTTCAGTTACATCGGGTCGGCTAAGAAGATATAATGCATGTACACTAAGAAAACAACAAAATAATCAATTCGACACTAACGAAAAACAATTTTACCGAAACATTAAACAAAATACGACAAACACACAACACAATAATAGCAATGAGATTGAAACACCCAACCCCGAAGAATTACAATCTTTCTGGGCAGGAATATGGGAACAACCTGTTCGACACAATTGCTCTGCTGAATGGATCCAAAAAGAAATTAACAAAAGTGATATAACAATAGAACCAATGGCATTTGAACATATTCCGACAGATATATTTGAAAAGGTACTTCGTAATTCATATAATTGGAAATCACCAGGTTCAGATTATATACATTGTTATTGGTATAAAAAATTTACAAATACTCATATCCATTTACTTAACTACATAAACAATTTTATCCAAGACTCTAATACGATGCCCTTCTATCTAACAATGGGAATAACATTTATGATACCAAAAGACCACAATGACCGTAAAAATCCGTCCAAATATAGACCTATAACTTGCCTACAAACACTATACAAAATACTTACTGCCTGCATAGCTGAATTAATATATCAACATGTTGACACTAATAATATTTTGAACGAAGAACAAAAAGGATGCCGGAAATTTTCTCAAGGATGTAAGGAGCAATTAATTATAGATTCAGTAATACTAAAACAAGTTCATAAAGCTAAATCAAACTTACACACTATGAATATTGATTATAAAAAGGCATATGACTCAATACCTCACACTTGGTTAGTACAAATCTTAGAAATGTATAAAATTCATCCAAAAATAACAACTTTCTTGAAAACAGTAATGGCAAACTGGACAACACAATTACAACTTAAAACTCTCACAGCTACAATACAAACTATACCGATCAAAATACAACGAGGCATATTCCAAGGAGACGCCCTCAGCCCACTCTGGTTCTGTTTGGCTCTAAATCCTCTCTCAAATATGCTTAACTCTTCTTCAGTAGGATTAAAACTATAAAGAAACTGATGATCAGTCTTCAAATATGAATAAAAATGTATTAAACCATTTATTGTATATGGATGATATAAAATTATATGCCGAAACCGAAAACCAACTGAACCAATTAACGAAAATAGTAGAACAAATTACAAATGACATAAAAATGGACTTTGGATTAGAGAAATGTAAAATAAATTCCATTAGGGCAGGAAGTCAACACCCATATAACTACACATTAGAATCAGGAGAACAAATAACATCACTTAGCGAACAAGAAGTATATAAATATTTAGGTTACAACCAAGCACTTTTTATAAACCATAAAGAAATAAAACTAAAACTACAGCAACAATTCCGACACAGACTGAATGCGGTATTAAAAACCCAACTTATCAATCAATCAATCAATCATCTTTATTCATATACATCTGTTACAGATACTTATGATACGTCAGTCTATAATTATAATAATTACTATAGAAAATAATATTGATTTAAGAAAAAATGCAATAATTACATTTACAATACAATTCACATTAATACAAAATTCAAATCCATGCAGTTTTGTCATTTAAATAGTCATTTAATTTATAATATGCTTTTGTACAGAGAGTCCTTTTTATATATGTCTTAAATTTTCTTTCATTTAATTGTAAAACGTCATCTGGAAGTTTATTATAAAAACGTATACAGTTCCCCATGAAAGATGTACTGACTTTTCTAAGGCGATAACAAGGAACATTCAATTTGTTTTTATTTCTTGTATTGAAATTATGTATGTCACTGTTATTTTTAAAAAGATTTATATTTTTACGTACATACATAATGTTTTCGTATATATATTGCGAGGGAACAGTAAGTATACCTGTTTGCTTAAAATATTCTCTAAGAGATTCCCGAGAAGGCAAATTAAATATTGACCGAACTGCTCTTTTTTGCAGTACAAAGATTGTATCGATGTCAGCAGCCCTCCCCCATAATATAATGCCATATGACATGATACTGTGAAAGTAACTAAAATATACAAGCTTAGCTGTTATTGTATCAGTTAATTGTCGGATTTTTCTAACAGCATAAGCAGCTGAACTCAGCCTGTTGGCCAATTCAAATATATGGGAGCCCCATTGCAACTTATAATCAACTACTATGCCAAGAAAAGTGGTTCTATCTACAAAGTCTAAATCCTGGTGGTCTAATCTAATAGCGGTATTCACTTGCTTAGTATTGGATATGGAAAATCTGATACATTTAGTTTTTTTTGAATTAAGTACTAGATTATTTGACGTAAACCATATCAAAACCTTAGACAAAGCAACATTTACATGGTCAAGGTTATGTGTATTTCTATTCACTTTAAACATTAGTGAAGTGTCATCAGCAAATAATACAATATCAGACAAATCTTGAACATGATACGGTAAGTCATTCATGTATACAAGAAAAAGAAAAGGACCCAAAATAGATCCCTGAGGCACACCCATTTCAATATAAGATCCACTAGAATTGACACCGTTTACTTCTACTATTTGAATTCTTGAATTTAAGTAAGATTTTAAGAGATCTAAAGACTTATTTCTAACTCCATAATGTTCAAGCTTCATTAATAAAGTTTTATGATCGACGCAATCGAATGCCTTAGAAAGATCACAAAATACACCAATTACATCTTGTGAATTCTCCCATGCACTGAAAATGCATTGCATTAAATTAATGCCGGCATCAACAGTGCATCGTCCTTTTGTAAATCCATATTGTTGCTTGTGGA